GGCACAGTATGTAGCAGTATAAGGTTTGTGCACCTCTCTAACAAATGCTAATTTTTCTGCTGTGACCGAAGAAGACTCTTTTTTCTCTATTATGGAACCCTTTTCATTTTATTTACTCTGTTCTGCTCTCAAGTATGTGTTCATGCATCCGTTAGAGGGTGGCCGCAAAAATATTAAAGTCACTGACAAACGACCAATGGGACGTCGATTTCGCTTCAAACTTCACTACGGAAGAAGCATCTTTTTATGCACGAGGAGTTTTAATTATTCAAGACATGGTCTATCATTTTGTGATTAGTTTCAGGATGTTTGCACGTGCTTGAAAATTTCGGGTAGCGATTTTGCTGCATTTTATAATATAAACTTTTACATATTTTCTAATCAGCCCGCCTAAAGAATAAGCAACTGCCATCTTCAACAAATAATGTGGTCATTCACATGTTGCCTCACTTGATTTATGCTGGCTGAAAAAGAGGTTCTCAAACTGGCGAGGGTTGTTCTAATAAAATCTTTACGTTTACACAAACGCACTCTATTATTTAAGCGCGCATAACTACACGATGTGCTTTACAGTAATTAGTAGCGTAAGAGCTTGTCTGGATATGAAGAAGGGTTGGATATGCCGCAAAATGTAAACCTTGTCGCTGGAAAAATAAATGAACAACACATTTTCTGTGCTAACAGGCTTTTGCATAACCCTCAAAGCCACTAGATAAAGTGCTAATTATCTAGGACAATTGCAAACGGTCATATGCATTTCCATCACCACGTTTCTTCAGTTCGGTCACTTACTATAGTCTGAGGCTAGTGTCCGATGAATATTTACTTTGCATTGCGTAGATTCACGCGGAAAGGTGCATACTTTTGTTGGAGTGGTACAGTCAGAAAACTGCAAAACCTATCATTTGGCATCAGGTCACACGTAGTGTTGGTGGTTACTGTGTAACAATGTGATATTCAAAGTTGTACTAAGTATAAGCATTGCCTCTACAAGGAGATAGGAGGGAGGTATGCTGGACGAATTCGAGTGTCATATTAAGACACGGTACGCGTCAGTCGGGATGGCACAGACTGCGCAGCTCATAACAAATACCAAACATTGGAGTGGGGTGGCACGCCTGTGCGTGAGCTTATAACGCGCCACGCACCTGCACCAAATCCCACAATCAGATGACTGACCGGCTCGGAAATCGAACTGGTGCATGACATAGGGAAGGACGAGTTAGGTCGACTCTGGGGACTCCTTACCCCGAGAACATATCTGTGTGGAAGAGTGCCGATAGTGTTGCAAGTAGACGGATAAAACTGTTGCGGACCTATTCTGCCTCCAGCCAATGTCCACAGTGGTGATGGTTCCAGGGTGAATCCGAAACATCAAGCGAATAAAACTGTTGCTCCAGAGATTGCGACTCCCCAAGTAATCACCATCGCGGACGCGCCTACATACATGGAGCGAGTGGTCCACATATGGGGTCTACGAGATGGGTCATAAGTGATTCGCCGAACCGGAGTCTACAAATGCTCCGCTTTCTGGCGTTCTCTGTCGTTGCGGCTTGAGTAGTTATTCCCAAAAGTCTAGATGCACACCTATTCGGTTCGGTGTGCACCCATGTGCCTTTCGCTGGCACGTTTTGATTAGCAGTTCAAGCCTATGAGACGAGGCGCGATTCTGGCAGCTGCTATTAGTATCCCCTTTTACAGTACGAAATTCAAAGCAAAATTTTCAAAGAGTTAAGCCCTCCTTTTGCCTGGAAATTGACGCGATTTCGTGGCCTTTACGCCAACATTTGCGTGTCGAAAAAAACAACCTCTAAGAAGACGAAAATTTGTCGCGTACATATTACGCGCTTCAATGAATGCCTGCTCTCGGAAAGATGTAAGTTAACAAATGGGCTTGTTCAACTCTTTTGAGGGTTTTAAGGAACGATGCTGACTTTTATTTTTAAAGCTCTGGTTTCCGTTGACAAAACTACTCTGAAAGGCAGTCCCACCGACAGCAAGGTTTAACGCGTATCACGTTAGGTTATTTTACAAATGTAACTGTTTGCGATGTTTTCTACTCACCCGCTGCCTTCGGATCATCTCACTTCATGATGTCTTATACCTGCACATACAATTGGCATATTATCCTGTAGTTTGATAACTTCTGCGACATTTTGTCGGCAACCTCCTTCTCTTTGCATAAGTGCGAACCCCGAAAGACCTGCCTGTTAAGAACCATCCAGGAACTCTTCATTAGTTATGGAGGAAACCCTGATTGAAGTCGTTTACTGAGATTTCCCTTAGGTATTTTTTGAAGTGAAACAATTATCGAGCCTTGTAGGCCGAGATTGACTGTGGGCTTAGGCACCCCGAGATTTTTTTGTCTTGGGGAAACATGGTCCCCCTGCTGCTTTGCATAGCATGAAATAAACTTTCACGAACACTGGCGACGTTACGTGAAATCGGAGGGCGCAGTGCCAAAGGTCTTTAAGGACATTTCTGCGTCAAGAGTTTAGAAATTCGATTTTAATTGGTGGACAACACTGGGCTGAATTATTTACACCTCGGATGCGCTCCTAATACAGTATCAAATGAGTATACTTACATGGATGAAATATTCTGGCGTGATGGTGTGATGGAAGGACTTTTAAGTGTTAACTTACATACTTTCTCAGAAAGAAGTTGATCCCTGATGGCAGTTTACTAGAAACGTGAAGAATGAACAGGCTAGCACAAAAGACCCTGGAAGAGTAGAAACTCAGATACGATAAGACACTTGTGAGGAAGATTATCGAAGCATTACCAGATTTTCCTCAGACGATCAGCACGTGTCGATGGGAGAGCATCTGTCGGACCATGGTTAGAAGTCGTGAGATGTAACTGAAGCATTTATAGATAGGAACTATAAAGTACACTGCGGTTTCAGACAATGGTACTCAATGGAATCTTAGCTCAGAGGTCCTCAGACCCGTCTTACTTTTTGGCAAGTGCATGAATTCTACATATACTAGATCACCTTTGCTAATCTTTTTATACAAATACCAGCCCTACTCATATGAGCTGCTCAGAAATATATGTTTTGATCTATAAATATTGTGAAGGTGGGATCTTATGCAATATCAGTACAGGCCTTTATGTGCTTTAAGATTCAGGGACTTAGGGCAGATGTTTTGAGAAAGTTCGGTTGCCGAGCTACATCACTAATTCATAAGAATGAAAACCCGAAAAGTATAGTTGTCTGTGCTTTGACAGGTCTTGTCGATCAGGACGCAGGCATATGTGACGGGCTTTCGCTTTTTAACAAACAAACGATCTTTAGAAAATAATTAAGCACTTTTCAAAAAATAATTCTATGAATTTAGCGGATAAGGTCTTTTGGTTGCTACCACCTGAGTTTCCGATAGTATCTTTGATGCTGATGCTTCCTATATTTAATCTCGCCGGCCTTGACTGTTCCTCGTAACTGACGTCAATGGTGCCCCCTAGGCACTTGTCTGTAATATTTCTGAAGCTCCCATTTAACGCATTCTTGTACTCCTTAATGTGCAGAAAATACTTTTACTCAGAATGCGACGTTGAGGCTAACGTTTTCCACTCTTGATTCCACCCGATTTTCAACTGTCACCGTATTTATTTCCTGTCATCAAGAATCACTTAGAAACTTTTCGTGCAAGCCTAGGATTTCAGCAGTACGCAGCACCTCCCCCGTCATTATCGACGATGATTAATTGCGCCGTAATTGTTTTCTATGGGACTAGTGACTCTTCAGTGCTCAGGTTCTCATATTTGTATACTTCTGAGTAAATTAATGTGATTCCTGAATAGTCAGAACATTACGGGTAAGTTGAAAGGGTATGATTGTTGTTGGCCGGGTTCTGTCAATGTATTGCGTTTATTTTGCAATGCCTATGCAGGCGTGAACAAGAACTAATCATGGGATATGCGCTCATTGCTGTGCTTTTACAATGCCATCAATTGCCCGTATGCGTAGTCATCAGCTCCGTGCCCCTTTAACTGTAAAGTTCTCTCAGCCGAGCTTGTATTGTTTCAACTGTGAGCCGTGGAATCGTGTTGGACGGTGTTTTGTACAAACCCCAGACTGCCGGACGACTGACTAAAGTACCTACATCCACATAAATTATTGTCTGTCCATGTATTACCGTTTAGAGAGCAGGATTTCATCCTCTGAAAATAAGCAGTAGTTATTACTCGTACACGCACCCCAAAAAACCAGTTTCATCCAAAAGATACCGTAGTTCCCGGTCTCCCTTCTCTTGGGGAGTCAGCCCCCCACTACCTGTTACTTAGTCATTTTGGGGTCTGATAATTGTTCTGCACTTCATGCTGAATGCCGTCAGAAGTCGAAGCTCACATCTGCCCTGAGAAGCCAAAATATTGGCTCGAGCCATCTCGTACGCACGATTTTCTTTTACCTTAGAGTAGTGAGAAGGATATAAATAAGTCCACTCTACCAGCGATTCGCTCAGTGAAGCCTATTTACGAAAAGAGACATACGCGTGGTGATTTCCGACCTGAGTACCCAACAAGCGTGTAAGGAATGTTATTTTAGCGAAGTGAGCATATAAATTGCCCCTTCATTCGGTATCCAGTACAAGAGTCAGTGCAACCGAATGTGGTGGCTGTGTCAAGAAATAGAGAGGTGAAAAGCGGAGGCCTAGTGACCGGTCCGATGGGAAGGTCGTGCACTTGCGCGAACACAGCACATTAGACAGTTGGATGCCCATTAACTATGGAAAAAGTGGCCTCGAAACTTGGCTGTATCGTTCACGGACAGACCACCAAATTCCTTGTCATACACACAGTATGCAAATACTTTTAGGGACAGACCTCTACCACTAAAGGCGACTGTCCTAACTGCAAACTTTCTGAAATCACCCTTCTTTTTATGCAAAGCCAGTGACTCAAAACCCTTCTTTTGACTTATGCACCAAGATGAACTGCGACCTGACGACGGGATCAAGAGGAACGATGCGCATGCTTTTAATGCACTGGCAAACTCAGCCAGCCTGTTCATCGAGGAAGAAGAAGTCAGCAATTGGCTGTCCTTCCTAAAAGTGCAAAGAACAAACGTGGCGAAAAGTTTGCTGTACACAGTCAGGCGCATCCTTCGATTTAAAAGTAATCGTAATACTGTGTCAAAACCTTATGTCAGTGGGTGAACAGACTGAACCGAAGATAGTAGAGGAGAGGCAGAAGTAATTTAAGTGTAATCCCTATTCGACTTTACTGGTTACCCTAGTCAATTCATAAGAAATTGCCTAGAAAAGGCTACCTCTGAGCAGTCGAACAGTGCAAGACAGAAATTCTGGCTCGTGGTCGCGTAGGCATAGAATCTTTTGATGACTACAGCGAGAATCCTTGAGCCTTTTGGGATTTATTTGACCCCTAAACCAGAATTCACCGTCAAATATCAATTAGTGGAATCGAAGGACCTGTTACTGGCAATACAACTGTTAGAAGTAGCCTAAGGTATATAATTTAAAAATTTTCATGCCACGGGTAACTGTCTTCGATACATGATCGTACACAGTAAAAGAACCGTAGCTTAGCGTTTGGGAAACTAAGAATCATTAGTCGACCCAGTGAGAAGATGACCGAGCAGGCGCTCGAAGTTTGTTATCCAGTTGGTACAGTTAATCGAGCCAAGCATCTGCTGCACGTCCACCAGGTGCCACGCGCACGGCTCTCTCTCTCGAGCAGCCGCAGAGCGGCGCATGATATAGGCAGAATGGTATTACAGACAAAGACAAGGGAGACGGGAATGGCCAAAAATGTTCTCCCAACATCGGAAGGCAACAGTACATATCACACTGGGCACACCCAGTACGGTCGAATACCAACAATGACGAATCGAGAGCACACATGTAACAAGGCCCATCTGCTCCCGTACGGTGGGTCATAGTGGTTAACTTAAAGTGGCAATGGAATCACATCGCCGTGGCTTTTGTTTAGGAGCCAGATGGTCTTCTATCTTGCTGGTGATAACCGTCACAACTCCGACCCGTTGTCGTGTCTCAGAGCTACAGTATTTTCAACTGGCGCTCATGCGTCTGATCAATACAGTTTGCACCAGACGTCTGTGCTGCAGCTGAACCAGCGGCCTGACCTCACTTTTCAGTCATGCGCATACTCATTTGCACTACCTAGTGTGCCCTCCAATCGTGGGCGTTTGGCATGTATATCACATGTGGAATCATATTTCCACATATGTATGCATCTATTAAATATAATATTAGGTTGACTTATAAGTTCGAGCGCTTCTCAAGCATTCAAAACTTTATCCTGTTTAATTTGTTTTATTTATTCATGTCAAATGTTATTTTGTACCTCTAGTCAAGTGAGGCAGAATGTGTTTATAATTTCTAATTTGGATTTACCTTTGGTTCTTTAAAACCCCAGGAAATGGAGTATTAGGTCGGCAAAATGAACGTTTCCGACATTTTCTTTTATCCGAGCTTGTTTATGCCTCGTTATTGGCCCGGCATCGTCTTCCCTGTCAACAGCGTAATCATTTTTGAAGCGGTTTTATCATTCGTAATGAAAAATGGTGCTTATATGTGGATGTAAAACGAAGGAGATGATGGCTAAGCCTCAACATACGATCAACACCTCGAACCAAACCTGGTCTTTATTCTCAAAAGAGGATGTTGTGTGTATCGTGGGATATCGGGGAAGTTATTGATTATGAATTGCCTGAAAGGAACTAGGCCATTAATTAGAGCATTGCAATCAACAGCTTTGCCGCCTAAATAAAGTACTTAAAAAACATTCAAATCGTCGGAATGGTGTCATTTTGCAGTACAACAACGTCAGGCCTCACTTTGAAAATCTAACCAGAAATGTCACTGAAGAGCTTGTGTGGGAGATTCTTTCACATCCGCCATATTCTCCTGACCTTGTTTCGTCAAATTTTTATCCTTTTCGGTCAATAGAATGCGGATTGACCGGATCATCCTTCATTAACAACCCGAATCTTCAAAATTGGTTCGGCGAATTCTTTGCGTCAAAACACGCGGATTTCTTCGGGCGCAGGATTGAAAAACTGTCTGAACGTTGGGGAGGCTGCGGACAACGGAGGGGACACACAATCTATTAATTTCTATAAACATAAGAGAATGATAAAATTCTGAATGATTAAGGAGCGCAAAAACTTATGGGACAACTCGAAAAATGGCCGCATGCGCAAACATTCTGCGAAATGAACTGCAGTTCGTGAACCGGTACAGTTAGCCTACGAAAGACTGAGAAAGACTGGAGAACGTTAACAACTGTCTTTATGGATCCGACTCAGTATTGCTGTTCAGTAAAGACACATAAAAACTACACGCACAAATGTTAAAACCATAAGATCGATGTCTTGTTTTAGGCCTCTTTTGCGGTTCCGTCATTTAAAATATGCACTTCGTTTTCACTGGTATAAGGATTCATTACAACTGATAAAACTGGCTCAATGCCGCAAGTCAACCGTATCTAAATCGATTAGTTATTATTTTTGTCGATCTGAGGTGTCTTCTCGTTCAGTTTAGCCAACTGATTCCCTGCCAGTAACCGCGGTCGGACATGACCGAAGAAACAGCCCGGACTAGCGAAACATAAACTTGAACTATTCGAGACAGAGCGTAAGGAAGGCGCAGTAAATTGTCTGAAGCCTCGAATACCTGTTCGCTGGATATGGGATCACAGAACAGACCTCGGAGACAGAAAAGAGTCGGAAGGAAAATATCTTCTGAGGGAAATGGAGTGCTCATCGGATCGAGGGACTTGTTTGGCTGACGTTTCGAAGAGCTGGGGCGACTCTCCATTATCAAACCGTCCAGTGAAAAAGCCGATCATAATTTTGAATAGACAGCTAAACTAGCTGGCCTTGGGCTGATCGATGTTTTTCTTCCTTCGCTGCCTTGGCCTGCTGGCCGTCGCCTGTGAGTGTTGGTGGCCTCCTGTATTGTGTGTCGTCACCTCAATTGGGGTAAGTTGCGTTTGCGTCTCCCGTTTGGGTGAATTGGTCGACAGGCCGTGTTTGCTCGGTAGTCTTAGGCTCCGTACGACTGTCTTGTCTTCGTCACGGCGTATGTAGTAAGGCAGAACTTTATAGGCCGAAGGAAGGTCAAGACTCCTGTTGATGGAGTTGGCACCTGAGTGCCAAGCCTCAAGTGTGAGACGCTCTGTCCTTGAGGTGCCCCTACCTAAGACGGCTGCTCCTTGAAAATCAAAACTGTAACCAGTTTCCCCGATGTGAGCCGCAAGCTGTGAGTTTAGGTCTAGTCTCCAAGTTGCCAGTTTGTGCTCATGTAGGCGGATCTGAAATTTCCGCCCGGTTTCCCCAACGTAATTGCTGTCTCCATCGTAACAACGTATTTCATAGACAACTGCTGATGTCTCGGTGGGTGGCAGTATGTCTTTGGGTTGCATCAAACGACGACAAATTGTGGCCTGGGGTCGATAAGCAATGCCTACCCTGGCGGGTTGTAACAGTCGTGAGGGCGCCACGGAGACTCCCTTAATGTAAGGAATAGCCCTCAAGACTTCGGGTTGTCCTTCTTGTTCTTGGAAAGTAAGGTCATCCACCCGCGTTTGGATCGTTCACTTCTCATTATGTTACTTCCTGTTCGTTTGAGGGACAGCTAAAGCCGAAGTAGGAGAAGCTGTCCTCCAAACCGAGTGCCTCGGTGCGTACTGCTACTTGACAGGTATATCCTAGCAGCCAGCCATTTCGGAGGCATCAGTCTACGAGCTCGCTTTGTCTGTTCCTAAATCTGCTTGAAGTACCGTATTTTCAATACCAGTTTGTGGACATTCGAACTCATCGGCATAGCCAAATCATCAGTGTACGAACTATGACTTCCAGCGAAAACTGGCTGATGTGCAAACGCGTACAGACGAATGAACACAGCTGGAATAGACGTCGGAGTTGGCAGCTTTCAGTCTGTAACAACCGGAGTAATCTGTAGTTTTATGCTTTTATTCGCTGCCGACTTCACAGGTGGTTTCTTCCTCGCAACCAAATTAAGGTGAACAAGTAGTATGTTCCTGTAGAATTCAAAGGATTTCCCCGGCAGTCATAGGCCCACAGGCCGGGGAAGTGCTTTCAAAGGTCGAAAGTGATGCGCCTAGAGAACAAAAGGCCGACAAAGACCTGGTCATCGTGCCAGCGGACATGCGGCGCCCCAAGGTTGTACTGGACAGGAGAGACTACCTCCGGAAAGCTACAAGTTAACTGGAGGACGATGATTTTATGTCCCATTTTTAACGAACCCTGTAAAAACGCTGACACGCGACATTAATGCTACGATGTTGGCCCTGGAGAACTCGGGCACAATAACACCGACCGGCAGACGCATGGCGAGACCAAGATATGGATTTGGCCTGATTCTGTGGCCTCCCTTAGGTGCAAAAAGAGGGCGCTACTCTCCTACTCATCGTGTCGCTCAAAGGGACTCCAACGTACGGACGGGCAAAGTCGCCGTTCCGGCATCTCAAGTTCTTGACCACTGAGTCAGACACTGCGGTCTCTTCGTCAGCGCAATTCCTGGAGAAACTCAAAGGGTTAATCCTCCATCCAAATAAGATCATAGTATCTTTTGACGTTAAGTACGTTTTTACTTTTATTCTGCAGGATCTGGCGATCGAGGCAATCGAGCCGCTTCGATAAAGCAAATTCGATGAAACGGAGAATCTTCTTGGATACACGCAAGTCCTTCAGTTCTCGAAGTTCTGTCTCAGGACGTACTTCACGTTTGACTGGAAATCTACGAACAGGTGAAGGGTACACCATTTGGTTCGCCGATTTCGAGATTCATCGCCGTATCTGCTATTGTCTCTGATGGTGGGTTCGAGCAGGAACTCGGAAGGTCAGGTGAATAAAGCTCTTGCCCCAACGATCGTGTCTCCTTCTTCATGACAGTGGAGCTGTCCCCGCAGACCAAATACGATGAAACTGAGAATTTTCTCGAACACTCCTGATCACCTCAGCTCCTAGAATTCTAGCAAGACACCTTAAGTCACAGTTAGACCCTTGCGGCTATGACCTTCAGGTCAGGTCCCAAACAATAAGAGTAGGTGTTGGATGCCAGCAGAGAGAGAGAGAGAGAGCATCATGTTCTGTACAGAATAAATTGAAAATAGGCTAGAACAAGTAAACAGTCGGACGAAGGCATACATCAGGCGACACCAGGGCAGGTATACGAGTGCCACAGGGGCAGATGTCAGGACGCCTTGAGCGAGATCATGTCTGTGTCGGCCTTGAAGTCGATTGATCGGTTTGGATAGTTGTGATTGCCCGAGAAGCAGACTGCCACCGGTAACCGCACGCAAGCACACGCGAACGAGGCGCGGTGTTGCAGCAGGCGTCCGGAATAAGGTTACTACGGATGTTGCCTCCCAGATCCAGAGTCTGGGTGAGAAATCCAAACGACGATTCCCAAATGAGTGAAGTAGAAATATACCAACGGCAGTGTTATCGGCAGCCTGGGCGTTTGGGGCTGGCCAGAGTAATAAGGGCTGTTAGAGAAAGCCGGTGGTGGATTTGTCGAGCGGAATCCCGAAGACAAATTCGCTCGTCGTGTCGATGTTTGTTAACTTGAGTAAGGGGATACCGCTGGTGATAAGGAAGGTGGGACATCGAATGGTGGGGCTGGTGGATGGAATGCCCTGCTAGATTGGATCACAACCACAGTCAGGAATCGGTGGTCTGGAATTATCTGATTATATGCATCTGATATCTCGAATGATGTAAATAACTGCATTCTCCCTACAATGGTCACATTAAATGGTACAGTAAAATTTAAAGCTGAAATCGACAGGGTAAATTCGTGGTGATTGAGTTCTTGTACAGAGTCATGCCCGTTATCTGGTCACATCTCTGGTTCTTTAGTCCAGTGATGATCTAAAAATCAGGCAAACAAAACGTTGGTTCCGGAGCTTGTGAACCCTTCAGATTTAGATGCGGGCATTTCCGAATTAGTGTAGGATCTGACTTTAAATTTGCGGACTCGTCAGTTAGGTTGCGTCAGTGGGAACTCCCTGCATGTGGCCTACCACATAGCCATTGCAACGCGGGCCGTCACTGGGGAGGCCCTGATCTCCTGTGCAAACAAGAACCATATTTGCACTGCGGAGATTAGCAACTGCCTTCCCCTGCTCAGATCACCGATCCTTGCCACAGACCGGCCTCAAAGTCAGTATGATCATTTGTAGCCACGACGCACTTTCCCCTGCAGTCGAGGAAGGACGACTCGGTAGCTGGAGAAAAATCCACACTTGCAGGACGTATCCAGTTTCCCACCGATCTCACTATCACAAAGGGTAAGGAATAGATGCGGCGGCCGCGTGGTAGTCTTTTCTCGAAGTCACCAGTCCGGTCGCTTGCCCATATCGCTTTTGGTCCAACTAGCACCTTTTGTCAACTGAGTGCCTGCATCGCGCATGAAAGGCCATCAACGCAGCGGCAACTTGAGCGCTACCGACAAAATGTCCTTCGCTGATTGCTTGCAGGCGCAGGTGCACGCACCTCTCTACGTGGCTAAGAACAACAGTTGGCCTCCGGCATGGTAAACGCTTTCGCTGCTTCCAACATGTAGCCTCTCGTACGTCCCCTGTTGCAGTAAAGATTGGTCTAGTGATTCTGTCGCCCGGATTTCTTATTTGGGAAGCATCTCGTTCTCGGTATTTCTCCTTGACAGATGAAGAGGATGCTGCATAACCACTAGCCTACTATAATTAGCAGCTTCCGCGTTCACAGCCATTTGGTGAGGCAACCACCTGGTTGTCCGGACCCGACCCGGCCACGATGTCATTACCTTTACTAGCAATTGGTGTGCTACCTACTCGGCCATTTGAACAGGAAGCACTCCCAACTTGACTTACTACTCTCTCCGGGTAAAACCTTGTCGGTGCATAGTAGAAGGCATATCTTTGTGTCTGGTGAACTGCATGTCGGAAAACCATGACTTGAATACTAGTAAAAGCATTATCTGCAAATCGAATCATGTCTATCAATAGAACAACCCAGTTAAATCGGAATTGTAGTATAAGGTCTATCATAACATTTTGGCCCGTTTTTCCCTAACTTCGGCAAATATTGCAAAGCAGTTGATTTATAAATTCTGCAGAATAACTAAAATTGCCTCCGTTTCGGCAGTCCGACGGACAAGGATCTAACGTGTAGGACGTCATTATTACTACGCAGTTGGCTACTTATGTGATTTATATGAGCATGTAATACTGTGAGTCAGAATTCGGTCATTCAGTCTTCTGTGTTGCTGTTAAGCTTCTGGGGTTAAGGCTAGTGCCATGGGACTTGTTCTGGATGGCGGGAGTAAGCGGACACGACAAGGATTCGAAGGGGGGCTAAGGACATAGACGTGTTATATTGGGGGTTTGCCGCTGTTCAAACGGCTTTAGGGCTGCTATGCAGGCTGGATTTCGTTCATTTGGGTTAATGGTCAGGGTTTGGAATGAGAATCAAGGATTAGGCTTGTGGTAAGTTATAGGTTGGGGTTACGGCTAGGAATTGTGATTTAAAATTAAAGTTTGAGCTACTTCCTACGCATTGTAGCGTTGGCACGGCTTCTGAATTGTGCGTTTATAGTAAATTACACCAGAACGGGGGAGCAGGGCTTTTACGGCTGCCAACAGGGCCTCTTTTCCAGGTTTAGATCACGTCCAGTTATTGCTGGGCTCTTAGGGGGTCTTGCCTTTCCAGAAAAAGGAAATCCATATAACTCGCGGGCATTTTGAGCTTTCCGTCAGCTTGTATTTTGTTAGAACACCATTTATTATTGTGCGTCACTTTTGTAAGCTGATTGGAGCATTAAGACAAACTCCTACTAATTCATTGCCTTCTCTTATTTCTTCCTCTGCATTTCCCTTCGTGTTGCCATTTTCCTCACCCATAAAAGCCCATCTTTGAGTGGCTGACCACCGAACAACTGAGCCTACTCACTGGCAGACATTTATGTTATCCCTTAATTCATGCTCAGTTGGCATCCTTTTTTGCTTCCCCTTTCTTGTGTGCAACTCCCAGTCATTACTACCTAACTATATTTCGCAAGTGTATGCATCAGCACACGACCCATAGTCTACCGACAACCAATTGGAGTTCTTCACCCTACCGTTTTCGCCATTACTGCCATAATTCTTATTTTATAGGGAACCCTGCGTACTGATTTGTCAAGTGGTTCAAAATATTACATCCCTGCCGCTCTACACGTAATTCCAAGTCAGTAAAATGGCATGTGAAAGGATGTACGCGTCTATTCATGATGTTTACTGAACGCCCAACAGCAAAATGACACGAAAGGATAGGACCATTGAAAGCAACAGATGAGCAGATGAACTGTGCTGTGCCACAGTCTTTGGTTCCCTATTCAGACCTTCCTACTGCAAGGAGACCTGTTAAGGAAACAGAGGGTACAGCGGAGAGTGCAGCACTGAATCACTGCAAGTCCCGCGACGAAGACACCGATCATCCTGTTTACTGCCTCCTCCATGGCCACTAGGTCACCTGAACATGCCTAGAAAGGAAAAACATTACGACACTTGCCACCGAAATCTGTTTATTTATTCAGATCGCTGATAGTCTCAATGGAAAACGTGATCGTTAATTTTCTGAAGTGTTTCTAATTGCTGCATTTTTAGCAATTTACTCCTAATAGCTTGCTCAACCGAGCAAACTTAACCTCTTACAATACAAACACACGCCCATTTCAATGGAGATCGGTCGCATTATCGTGCCAAGTATCATTTACAGTCCTTATCGCATGAAGTAGAATTAATTTGCCCTTCGGGTAGTTTGATAGGGTATCATTCTGAAGGCTAAGGCGTCATTTGAGGGAATTGCTTCCCTTTTCGAGTCTCGGTTACTCCAGGTATGTGTGACTTAGCGACGACGGAATGTAAACAACAGACAGTTCTCCCAAGCCTCATATCTTCCATGGGACGTAATTCCTTTGGAGATGTTTGCATCAACAAGGTTACGTTTTGTGCACATGCTAGAGCATTTGAAGTTCCCATGACCACTGGGTGCTCAGTATCATGTCTACGTATCATGTTGACAAAAATGCGAATCGTGCTGGATTTTATCGAATTTGAGGACTTCGATACGCATCATGCCACTTAACTGCAAGTGCTAGAGAACTTCACCAGGCCGTATGGTTTCTCAGGGCAAATAAATTACATTACGGCAATCGAAGCGTTGCCCTCCTGAGTTCACGTCGAATACTCTACTCCTTGAAATGACATGATGTTTCGACAGACCCACTAGGCCGTATTTTATGAATATGTTTGATGATTTAGAACTCATGAAAGTGCTGAGTTTTTATTTTAACTTGTGCACATCTTGATGAAAAGACATGGCGCATACTTGACGCTGTCGGAATTTAAGAATTTAATGTCAACCGTGCCTTTCCGAGGTTGACTTGTGTTTCTGTTTGGACACCATTCTATTGAAATTGTCAGGACCAGTCTTGAATTTTCAGAAACCTGGAAGTGTTTTCGTTGACGTGTGCCTCACAAGGACTTCTTCCAGATTTAATATTTCATAGAGTGATGTATTTTCAAAAATCAGTCAAAAATTAATCGGCAGCATGCACTACCTCGAATTTGAGGCGCACTCGTTCCGCGTGATCAGTGAAAAGCTAATGTCCGCAAAATTGATCTCAGGCTCATGCAGGCAGGACATGTATAAAAATATTGTAGGAGAGTTCATTTTCCTCATCATACCAATATCATTTGTTTAGACACCTAGGAATGTGCAGGTTATGACAGTTTGACTGTCGGTACTGACGATGTCCACCGTATGCTCCACAGTGGGGAGGATGCAGGGACGGCGGCTCGTGCCCGAATTTGTCTGTAACGCTAACGACTTGCGCCGCACCTACCGCACTCTCCCTTCCTCACCTACGTCCGATGCTATGACATAACCAAGGGAACCGTAGGCGAGAAAAGGGTGCGAGTGACTGACGCGGCCCGAACCCACACCTAGGCGGGCGACCACAGCCCCTAGTCCCACACAGGAACGATCAGGGTTTCACACAAAGAGAGGGGATGGCTCAGATCCCAGTTGATTGGGAGTGCCATAAAGACCGTATTCAGAAAGGAGCCATTGCAGTCGGATTCTCAAACTACCAGTCGGCTACTCCAAACAAATACACTGCTGACTGTAAGGCCTGAGTTCAATCGTCGTTTGGCAACCTTCAAAGTCGCGGACTTTGGCGCACTGTGGTAGCCACAAGCATCGTAACACTAGCTATGGAACTACTCAAAATGACATTCGGGATAACTTAAAAGGTAAAATAACATGTTAAATGATAAAAAAGCCACAAAGAGGAATGTTAAGAACAATCCTGTCAGGACCGATGGATAAGATGAACTCTTCCGCATAGTACTGCGCATATAAATATCTGGCCGCCATATTTGGCAGTCGGAACCAGCCGAAAAGCTGTGGACAAAAAGTCTCCAATGAAGACAAGGTAGAGACTAAAATGACCACTTCTGCCTTATTTGTTGGCTGAAACAAGCAACCAAGCAGGGAATTATCTTTCGGTTATCAGTCTTCCTTGTCTTAAAACTCATCCATTGTCGTCCATTCGTATCTACTCTATTATCTTAAAGAGCTCTTGTTGGATTTACAAGATCTACTACAAAACCTGTAATGTCAAGATGCTTCGGTAACCGCCATCCGAAAGCCAACAAACATGTCTCTAATCACTTGACTTAAATAGTTTCACTTGTTAACCCAAAGCAACTTTTGTCATGTTATTAATTCTTTCGAAATAACTTAAGACGGTTTGTTCTATGTCAGGCACGGTTTTAGGCAGGAAATCTGCTGCGACATGGTCATTTGCTACGCAACTTTCCGGCATGGATTATGCAGGTGAAAGTTAGAATATTTCATGTTGGAAAGGATCTTTGAAACTAGCAAGTGGTTTTGCGAAAAAATAACTGATATCCTAACATTTCGTTGAGAAGAAAGTTGTTTTTACCTGCTGAGCAAAAATACTGGATGCGAAGTCTTCATCAACTTCAAAGAAACGTTTCCTGTCGTTTTTTGAAAAAAGTCAGATCTCTTGTTTCGTCAGACACTGTGAAAAGCCGTTCGTGTTGGAACACTGCTGGCATCGATTTAACAGTTACAAACCATCTCATGGTCTTCGATTTTACCAAATAGGAAGCTACACTCTAACAAGTAATCTTATTAAAGTAATTTGCAATATAGCCATTCTCTGAAATTCTAGTTTTCAGTGAAAATTAGTGGTCTCCATGTTTGTCAATACCGATTTATAAACCAAACAATGACTTCTTCTAAAAACGCAGCGTGCGCGGATTTCGCTCTATAAGGGACTTTCTTGTGAAACTCATTTCTATTCATGAGTTGTCAAATCTGTTTTATAGTCATTTTTAGACGTCTTAAATAAACTACGCAACCGTGAATAATTTTTCGAATAATTGCGAGATCTATTAACTGATGAGATCAAAAGAAGGAAGCTGCAAGTTCGAAAGTAGTGGATGCTAAAGAGATGGGCAAGTAGTTTACAAAATTATCTGACATATTTCTGTCGACTTTCACTACTTTTTATGGTGGCGAGCACCATGAAACCTACATCATGCATACCCAAATTATTGGTCTCGGCTAAGCTGCCTGGTCCACCATAAATAAAACAGGCGACCTTGAACTCTTCGTTTTAACCTGCCCGGACATGCAAGTAATTCAAGTAAATTTTCCTCTCTACCTGTGTCACCTTTAACCGGTCTGGTTGTTTTATCAAGATTAACGCCACGGGCAATAGCTTCGCGGTCCACAATTCTGCTGCCTTATTTTTCACTATTGGAAACAAAGTCGGTTTTCTGGTACCTACAGTCACATATTTTGCCAAAATGTAGCATAAAGTTAGGTATACACCCCGGAGACACCCTAGCGTAGTTTAAACCCACGGGCCTTTGACTGGACAAAGTACACGTAGAATTTTAACGAAAAAATTACCATCTTCTATTACACGTGCGCATGGCACAAGTTAAGTATGAATGCGTTTCTGCATAATACTGAATTAAAGTCCGACGCTTGCATTCAATCTTCTAACATTCGCATGATGACTGCTAAGGTTTAAAGTAAATCGTACGGAGAATTGGCTTACAATTTATTTGTTGCGTAGGACATCTTTTTACGACCTTTTTATTTTAACTCACAAGATTATTCATTACAAGCGCTAAACCCGCGGCAGGATCTACTATAAAAGCTATACAAATACTGGCTAAAAGCCCAGACACATGTTTCGCTGATTTTCTGCTGACGCATAACACAGCTCTCAGGGGTTCGGTCAATCAACGGGTTCTCTGGTAGATATTCCATACATCGGTGAAACACCTGCCGGACTTTTTAGCCAGTACCTTTGCTGCCAATTTCGTTAACCATGCAGCATTTTCATACCATTGGCTGCATGTTGGCAGTTTATGAATACCGCGCGGTGATCTTACTGAAACTGATGGATTTCAGCCAAAATATTCATACCAACTTTATAGCTTAGCTTATAAAACCACACTACGAATGATTTACTCCAAGTTGGCACATTGGTCTTCGAGGCGATTAAAAGGCTGAAATGATGAACCAACTCTTAAAATTGGGAGAAACCACTCTCCCTCTCATTCTGTCTAATTTTAGCAGACTTTTGTTTGTTCTGTTTGAACTATCGTCGATCGACTGCAAAGGCCTATTAATAATTCAGTCTGCGAAATGTGTTAATAAATAAACCGCAAAGTAGACTTACCAAAAACGGTCTTCCCCGACTAGGTATTTGTTGGGTGCAATTGGCGCGTTGGAAATTTTGACGAACTATCTGCATGTACTGAACGAAGAAGAACTTGGTTAATACAAGGAGACACAAACTTAACCTCATTTCCTTGGGTAAAGACCGCAGCAACGACTGCTACCTGATAAAGTACCACAAGCAGGGTGCCAGATGAGAGCTAGGTGGGGATGGATGTGTTAGTGATGTAAGACTTGGGATACTTACTGCAAAAAAGCCGCAACAGTGATCATAAGTTACCGCCAGGACGCCCAACAAGCCAAGAAGAAACTGGAGTCCGCCAAGGGCAAGCAGAGTGAATGAAAGCCAGGGAAGAGCAAGGGACTTTCCTGGTTCCGTCTGGAGACGCAAAAGTAACGCACCACCGAGAACAGCCAATGTTACTCCAAGAATCTGGGGTTAGTGTTGAAGTCAGAATTTCCATTAAATGTGTATAAATAAGGGCAAAAGCATATATTCCATCTTACTTGTGAAGTTAATTTTAACCATATAACGGAACATTAGCACTTTTCGAAAGTTAAAGAAATTTAACGAATTAAATTTTTTTGTTTCACTCGGCGAATCTTTAAATAAGTTGTCAATGGGATTAACTCAAATTCTGGTCCCCGAAAAAACAGTCCAGTAAATCGAATTTAGGTTTTTCATGAACATCCCACGTATTTTATTATCAAGACAAAATGCCTTTTAACATCGAAGGTTTACGGGAATCTCGTGAGCACGCGCATCCGGAATTGATGTTATTTTTGGTTATTTAAATCTTTCGAGACTGCGCTCAATAGTCAGCCTGCATTTGACAACGCAATAATTTTATGTTCTGGTAAATAAGTGTTCTTTTTGAAGAAAAAACGACCTCCACATCGTTTCGCGACTCTACCCTGACAAAAATAAGTTTCACGTTCCTAATTTCAAGAAGATTGCGGAAATTTTGCAAAGTTTTTCTACACAAAGAATATCGAATAAGTCCCAGTGCAGTTAGGGACAGCGTGCAGATATGCATGAGAACAATGAGGGTGAGCTACATAAACTGAAAAAAGTGAATACTTTTTAGAGTGCAAAGGCCGGATGTGAACCAAAGGAGAGCTCACTGGACATCATTTCAGCTGAGAGGTATATGCCGTGCAAGACGGAATGTATTACCATCAACCTTTTACGATGGCTGTTCACATGCCTCCTCCCACAACACAACACGAATAAGAAGTGGATTGCACACGGCAAGTCAGAAATATTCCAGTAAAACGATTTAAAAGCAGGATTATTGTGGTCTAAAACACAAATCAGCGTCCATGAAATCGTTTTCCAGCAGGAAATGAAGCATAACTTTTGGAGTGTAGATAAGACATTGGAGTAAGGTTGGTTCAAGCACTCTGATACGCCCTTGGGCAGAGGCCTAAAACGCGGCCGCACTGGTAAACCAGACCTTATTCTAGATAATAACCCTGAACCTAACCCTAAACCCTAAATCTAAATCCTAGCCCTAAGCCTTAACTAACAAACCCTAACCCTCAAATACTAACCCTAGCATTAAACCATAAACACCTAACCGTAATTCTTAACCCTAACCTTAACCCTTACCCCAACATAAACTTCATTCCTCAAATCATAGCAGAAACCCACCTACCCGGGTCGATATGAGTATGAAATTTTTAAGCAACTGACTAGGAAATGACTAGATGGGGCCGCGTTTTAGGCCCCCACCAGCCCATGTGCCTGCTAAATTGAGGATAACTAGCCACTGACGAAAACTGTCTAACTGAATTCGATTTGGTGTGTGATCAGTATCAGAAAGATGCCATCTCGCCTTGAAGGACTCTATATTTTGAATCTATCGCATGGTGTTTCGGAGACATCCACCGGTATGGTTGCAGCACGAAACATGTTCAGCATACGCACGTAGCCGCACTATAACCCGGAACCTCCGAAGACGCAGTTGTCACCACGAACGTCACTAATTCGCCGGACGAGAAACAGACAGTTTTAGGACCATAAAAAGATTGTTAGCCTAGCGCGTACGGGCGCTGACTGCCAACGTCCGAACGCCGTCCCCGACGATAGAACATTCCGCCATCCTCTCTTCCCCCCGTCTGCCACGGTCCCTGTGTGTGTGTGTGTGTGTGTGTGTGTTTGTCACCAAACGGGCCACGTTGTAGATACGCTGGACCAGCGCGGGGACCACATCGGATTCTGGCAGGCGTTATCTTGCGCAATAACTAATGCCAACATTCAGGGGGTGCGCTAGCAGACCCTGCTGTCGGCAGTAGGCGCACAAACTGGGACCACCGCCCCCCCCCCATTGTTTTGTCGGTCAAAATCCTTGTCATTTGTTGTGTGGACCAGGGGGTACGGAGTGGAGCGCCAAGGTGCGCATCCGTCCAAGCCATCCACCTGCGCCCTCCCCCGTCTCCGGTCTTCTTGAGACTGGGTTCAGGGGGAGGAGTAGAGAGCGCGGTAGATGCTGTGCAAGTCTACTATCCCTATAAACTGAATTTTCGTACAAGCCACTGTCCCTGCTCCCACCCATCTGCGAAGCATACAGTGGATAGCGTCGGATGCGACAGTCGAACTGTCGTGTGTGTGGGTGTGTGTGTGTGTGCGGACGATGACCACCAAAGTCGAAACACCATCCCTCATCCGGCGACGTGAGGATTGGTGACGCCCCCCTCCACCCCTGCCTCCCTGAAGCTGACTGCATAGGTAACGCATTTTAACACGACCGTTACCACCTATAAATACTGAGAGGGGCGGTGCCGCCTTTTCTGCCCATATACGATGTACTCTCACTCTTCACCCCGATTTCGCTAGATTTGGCGAGACATTGCACGGAAGAACTCTTCCAGGTCTACAACACTAATTTGCCTGACCACGCGTCCTTAGACATTTGAGTCAATTTTTAATTTCCGCTGATCAGAGCAGATCTGAGTAATGCGGCGCATTGAAAATGAGAAGTGAGCGCAACACCAGACTCATTCAACGTCAGTCAAATAAGGGTCATACGTTGGATAGGGGACATTTTTTCCAATAATGTACCCTAGCAATATGAACAAATCCGTCTTCGATAGAAGCGAACAGTCGTTGCGGTTGCACACAGGCAGGAAACAACCATCAGGCGTCAGGTCATGAGGCCGAAAGACCCACTACCACGGCGGGAAACGTCCGGAATTGTTTATCGGACCTGGTGCAGTTGTGGACAGCGCAACTACGCTGGAGAAAGTGGGAGATTACTCCGGACGCGAATGTGCGAGCACGCAGCAGCGGTGAGAAAAGACTATAGATCTCAGGTGGCACCTCATTGCACGGGACCTGGTCATATTTTCGAGCCTCAAGAAGCCGAAATCCTTGGAAGAGGCGACAACCGCGTGAGCCGCGAACTGCTCGAGTCAGTGTTCTCAGGCCTCTAATCCTTCAGCGAGCGCTATGATCGCCCGTTGCCATCTTTTGCGCTGAGACTTTCCCTGGACTGGGAAATCAGTCACGTATAAAGGGCGCGGGCGAGCTACAATCCCAGTGGCCGCAAGCCAAATGGCCAAGTAATCGTCCCGCCAACATCTGACTCGGATGGTGAAATTGCGGCCATTAACGATTCGGACACAGACTGACAGACCATCATCGCATCAACTACGACCCTCAGCGGTGGTCGCGAAAGTTGTTAATTATAGCACGCATGGCAGTTACGTACAATAAATGCTGCACTCCCTGTGCCTTTACTGACCTTGTCTGCGACTGTCTCTGCTGATGGGCTCGAGTGAGAATCGGAAATGTCAGTCCAATAAACTTCCTGTTCTGGAGATCTCATCTTCTTCTAAGTCTATCTTCATTAGGTTTTGGCAAGTTTAGCGAAACAGAGATTGCCAAAGCGTAGTATGGTAATAATTAAACAACAGTTAAGTCAACTCTTTCCTGGTCGTGATCAGTTCTAGCACCACCATGCCTTTTCTCAGTCCGAACTACAAATGTGAGCTACTCAAACAGAAAGTAAGCTTTTATTTGCTGGTTACAGAGTGCACAGAGGGTTTAGGGTAGTCTTCGAAAGTATCACCTCTTATGCATGCCTAACGCTTTTAGTTCACCCATAAGAGAGACGAATGTTGCCGCGCATATTCGTTCGGTGGCTTTAAACATTGTTATCTTGCGCGTCATTTAGGTCAATTGGTTGAACCAGGTCCAATATATCCTTACTCCCGAGTGGTTATTTGGGAGGTTACATCGGTCTTGGTGCTAAAATTGCAGCAGAATACACTGTTAACTGCACAACTCTGCACCACGCCGTCCTAAAATAAAGAAATATTAACGGAAAGCTCCCAGAACAAAGAGACTAAAGTTAGCCGCTGGATGAAATCCACCTCGTCACAAACTTGACAAAGGACAAATGTTTGGCTCCAATTTAAACGGTTATTCAAGTCCTATTTAGGTTTCCCAGACTTTGATTATCTCTGCGGGCATCTACCGTAAAAAAGATGTTAAATAAGTCTGATGTCCAAATCGGCTGTGAAACATTATGACCATAACGTGCGCAAGCCATCTTTCTTTTCTCGGTCCTAATTTTTGTGAAGTGATATTTTGCGAAAAGCTTCCTGGGCCGGATGAAACATCAGTGGGAATGGGTCTCCAACAGGGTCCTTTCTGCCCATATTTCAGTTCCAAATATTACAAATCGCCCCTTCTTTGATTCGACCTGCTAATTTCTACCGGGTTAACAGGTGGACTTAAATTTTCTCATGACTCTGAAATCATTCCCGCAAAAGAAAACAGCATTTCGAATTTCGCGTCTTGGACTGCTAGACGTTTTTTCAGCATGTCTCCGAGTGAAAGCCAGGTCACTGACAGTGAACCTAGTTTATGGTCTTGAACCAGCCTTTTTCTCAAAATAACTCATTGAAATAGGACACCTCCATGTGGCCTTTTCCAAAAAAAATACGTCTTTAAGCGGCCTACCGAAGGCGAAACACTAAAAAATCCCCCATTTGTCAATTTTGCAGTTATTGTGGTAAAGTTCTCGAAAGTTTCAACATAAATTTACTGCTTTAAAATTTGAAAATAGAACTCTTTAAAAACGCTTACTAATTCTGCGACAGCCACTGCAGTGAGCTGGTTTTTACGCTCGTAATGCATGCCAGGTGGAAAGGCAAGTGCCCAGCCGTGAGCAACCTGACTCGACTCCAAGGCCGCAGACACATGTTCTTAGCTGTCTGCAAATAACAAAATTCTAATGGTAGACTCAGAGGCAAAAAGCATCATCAGGTCGCCAAAGACACCATGAGCGCAGTTAAGTTGGGGAAACTTTAAAATGCGCAGACAAAATATCTGTTGATTGACAGTTTCCTCTAGTCAACGTCATCTCTCCACCGCTTTCGGTCCGTTGAGCTCTTGTGTAGGCGTATTTTGTGACTTGGTCTGGCATTTGACCATGCCCTACAATCGACTCCGTATCTTGGTTTGCAAGAATACAACAAAAGAAGGGATGTCATACGGTTCTCCGATGTGCTACTTTCACATCTATCCAAGGATTTTGGTGCAGTATCCGACGCTCTACTTGTCCCTTATTGGACAGTGGACGAAAGGGGTGAAGTTCGTTTGGGCAATACATGCTTCAATTAAATTGTCAATCTCGACTTTATGAGTAGGAAAACCAACCACCCGACTTAAGTGCACTGAAGGAATAGGAGTTCTCAGCTTGCTTTCGTTAGGAATTGAATGTTCTGGCCTCAACCATTAAGGTGGCATCTGCCAACCAGTGGACTATACCGAAAACCATGAGACCGCCAAGATTCGCATTCACGACCACACTAATCAGCAAGTTATATGACCTCCATGTTTTATAACAAAATATCCTAGGAACATTTGAATCGTTCATCATGCTGAAAAGGGCAATGGTGTATTCGGCTTAACCGAAAAATATTTCGCCAAAACACTTTAGCGAAACTACGCCCACCAATGAATCACAGCAGGGCCTTTTGTCAAACCAGCAGAACAAACAATCAGAGAAGAAGCACCTCCACTTATTTAAAGGCAAAAACCACAGGTATATGAATGGTTCTAGTGCCAACATTATCTTGCAGTTTGTTAAGCTTCAGATAACTTATATCGGATAATGAGAACATATAAGGCGGAGGAATAAATAATAGGGGCATGCTAGTTGGTATTATCGAGTTCTGTTTAACGTGTTCGGTTCGTAATTTGCAACCGAATGACTGTCTCTGGATGAGTTACTACAGGTTGCCAAATCACCAAATTCTTGCCACCCCCATTCTTATAATATCATGGAAAACTGTTATCAATGCACAAAGAGATTTCCGGAGTTTTTCATGTGCTGCAGTCTACAAAACTCTCTTCTGTCCACTAACAATCCACCGTGTCCTTTCAAGCTGAATTCTTAAAGTCGAGATGCAAAAAGTAGTTTCTCCGTCTATTTCCCACCAGCTATGGACGAAAGACAGTTGATTGTAAAACAGCAACTGCTGTATAGCGTTTTCCCTTAAGTGCACATCAACGGGCTGCAGTTAAATGGATCAAGGGTAAAATACGCCCGACCTCTCGCAATACAATGTCCTCGGCATGATTGCAGTACCCATCGGCCCTACTAAGATTGCGGTAATATGTGGAAGAATTTAAATGTCCTCTACAATGGCATACAGCGAATTTTTCCAAAAGCAATATAGTCTTTATTGAATACCGTTTTACTTCCAAACCGCACATTATTGGTCATTTCTTAAAACTACTGATATTCACACACAGATCAGACACGCTGCCCAGTTTTGCCCATCAAACCATCAAGACTTCACGCTCCCTACATTAATCAGCAAATTCGTCTAACATTTCCAGATGTGTTTGAGAGGCACCAAACAGTCACACGGTCCAGAGTGCTTTCCGAACCCGACAGCGTTACAGTTTAGTAGCTCAGAAACCATTCAATGTAGCAAGAAGAAAGAATCCGGTTGTGTCAGCCCTATATATTTAGTTTGCGCTGTAATTCACGAACAATTCGAGATGAGTCAAGTTGTCAAACGAAACTTTTCGGCAATTTATCATCATGTCCATATAAATACATGGGAAATAAAAATATGAGGTTCACAGGGTTTAAAATAGGTCACAGGGGTTATTACCACTCATAGTTTCCACGCCACCCGCATGACGAGGTCGACGTGTTGTGGCCGTTGGGAAGGGGAATGACATCGGCTGTGAGCGATGTTTGTATGTTGAGTACGTGGAGTACACCTCGGTGCCATCAGGGATTGGGGAGGCGTATGATTACCATCTGGGATCGGCGTTGGCCGCGGAAGACCAAACGCCTCTGTCAATGTCTTCTGGTAACATGGTACTGAATTTGCCAGCCGTATAACTACTGCCTCGGTTGTAGTTAGCACCCGCTGACGTAGGCCTTTGGAGAAGTTTGCTGGTGTCCAGTAGACAACCTGAAAGGCTTCCTTAGTATCGACTATATACGGGAGAATAGAACTCGAAGTCGATCTGCTTTCACCTCTGCTTAGTCAAATCGGTGCGTGTTAAGTACCCTTTTTCCCTGCGTCTCGTTGTAAAGCTAATCTGTCTCGCTCCGCAGGAGTAGGTGAAGGATTAAACATACATCGGTGTGGCCTGCAACGGTAGTCGGTCTTTACATCCTAAGCGTGAGAGGGCATAGTTTGTGGAACACGCGCGGAAGTTCTTCGCAGGGAAAGCGCTCGTAATCGCTGCCTTTAGATGTCGTCTTACTAGTTCGCTTTATGCGTCCTCTAAAAAAGACAAAGTTGTAAACACGCCTTTCTTTTCTGCAGTTGCCATAATAGGGTTTGAGAAGAATCTTTTTGGCTTTATGCTCCTCTTCCAGTTCCCGAATTTCCTATCATATAGGTAGATGGGGCCAAAACTGCATTGAGTTTAGTAATTCCTACACGCGTCAGTTAGTTGGAGTATAGTCAACTGAAGTGGGCAGCTGCCGGCTTTGCTTTCACCACTGCCTTTCCACGCCCATTATTGTTTCAGTGGCCGCGCTGGAAGCAGTCTAACAACGTTTATAAACTGAAAGTATTTTCGAAGTGCTGTGGTTAACTGTGTTGAAATGGCATTTACCGATTAGTATACAGGACATGCTCGTGCCGTTCTGCCTTAAGGTGACCTCGCAGACAATCGCACAGCGACCAGACATGTGTGCAGAAGGAAGTCCCGGCAAAAACAAAAGAAACTGAGATGGCTCTTTTCAGCCCGCTACCCATCGTCAGTCAATCGTGCCCAATCGCAGGTTTGCAGGACCTGAGTCCCAAGTCACAAGGGGACGACTATGTCCCCTAACCCGATCGGTGAACGCAACTCCAGCATAGTTAATATCCCCAATCACAACTGCCAAGGTAACGGGTTTGTGACGCCATGGGAAAACGTTAGCCTTGATAGCGTTCGATGACCAAGGAGCGCAGATTCGAATATCAGGTTCTGCAAATCTGGGGCTGGATAATACTGGCTCACGACAGTTAATAAGCCAGAAATAGCCACCTCAGTCTTCCTTATTTATGTCGGTTTTCCCTCCGGAATATATTTCTGGAATGGTTTATATGGTTTGGGTGCGTTAATGCCAGCGTGGTTAGGGCACGCTTCTGTCTGACAGGAATACAACGATTTACGAGACGTAATATCAGCAGGTTCTCCAACAGTCTGGCTTGTGTTGTATGTTGTACCTCTAACGTTACTGAGCTACCCCAGAGAGATTTATGCTTATCCAACCACGACAGTGGAAACGCTTGCAAACATGACCTTCTTCTGTCGCAATAGGCAATGTGAGGCACGATTTTTCTGGCGCATAATCACTTATTACAGAATATATATCGATATTCTGCCTGTTCTTTCATTAATCAATTGTGCGTACATTACTGGACGGCCGAAAATTGTGCAGTGTATGATCATCTTGCCCAATTAATGCTGTCGACACATGTCTACGGTGTAGGCAACTGCGAGCGGACCAGGATATCTGCGAGTTCCCCATCGTTCCTCATATGGTTTCTGTAATCCAAATCTGACTTTCTATTTCAACTGGAGTTTCTCGAACAAACAGAGAGTTAAGGATAAAGTCTGAGTGAGTCGACCCGGACAATCGGAGTTATCATAAATGCACTACATCTGCTTCAAATAGCCGAAGGTAACCAATGAACCACCTAACTGAACTTTCACTTATTGTCTGTGTCGAGAGTACAGTATGCGACCTGACTCATGAAACTTGATGACGGAAAATAAGATGATAATTTTAGGCACCTAAAACGTTGCGCATTTCGCTAATTCGTTTAGCCATTCCTGGAAAACGTTTATTTTTCGTGAGGTGAGTGCTCAAGGCACCGGTTCACTGGTTTCCATGAGATGGATTCGCAGGTGGCAGACCAGGCCAATGCGTGAGGTGAAGGTGCAGTGACAATGCAGACAGTTCGGGACCGAGTCAACATCACTGGTGTTGACGGCGGTAAGGTTGATGCCTGACGGAGTGTCATAATTGTGTACAGTGGTGGTGGGGGGGGGCAGGAGCCGCCGCAGCAGGTGCTGAAGAGGTTGGTGGTGGGGGGGAGGGGGGTGATTGTGCAAAATGGCGACGGAGGATCTGAAGCACAGTTAGGATTGCTAATTGACATGAGATATGTGGTAGAGGCGGACGGAAGGCATCAACTGGTGTCGTACGGGTGCTGCAGTTGATTCGATGGTATCCAATAAGACCGATCTGTTTGCTGACAGAATGTTTGCTGACACCGTGGGCATCTTGAGGGCCGTTGATCGTTAGCGTTGTGAGGCGGGGCAGTTGATATTTTTGAGCTTCGCGTTTGGTTTTGGCGGTGGTTACACGGTTGACTTCGTGGATCGCTGCTCCTGTCTTCACTGTCCTCCTCCAGGACGGTTAGTTCCCAGCGAGGTCTTCCCAGTTGGCTGAGTTAGCCTGCAGGCGCATCAAGGAAGTCCTCAGAGTGTCCTTATAGTGCTGGACTTAACCCGACGAGAACCAGTGGCAACATATTCATGGGAGAGTCTTTTAGGCAACCTCTCGTCGTCTGTGCGAACCAGATGGCCGGTCCAGAGCAAATGCTGCCGTCTCAGCATGTCATAAATGCTGAGGATTCCTGTCCGTTTCAGTAATTCTGGATCCAAGATCCGCTCTTGTCACCACAGCTTTAGTATCCAACGAAGACAGATGAGATAGAAATGGTCGAGCTTCGCCGGTTTCTTCTTGCACACCACGATGACATGGGAAGTCGCACTGGCCTTTCGGCAGGAGACCTTGTAGCAGATGCTGGTTCGGGCGGTAGAGGAGAATACGAACGAAGATCTTCCCGACAAGAAGATGCCTCGGTGGTTGTTACGGAGCTGACGTTTACCTTACCGCTTATAACGATGCACGATTGTGACGTCCTTGAAATCCTGTGGAAGTTCTCCTTGACGCCACATCTCTGGAACAGCGTTGTCAGATGAGGCGGCCACCGTGCTTGTAGATCTCAGCAGGGAGCGCGTCCGATCCGGGCACTTTCGCGCTGGAGAGCTGCTGCATGGTGGCCGCCTCATGCTACCGCATACCTATGAATATTCACGGCTCCTCCTCTCCATCCCCTCCGTCACCTTCATCGAATAAGGCTCTTGTCCCAGCGATCGTGTCTCCATCTTCAAGACTGCTTCCTGGGGCTTGTCTGTTCGCTTCTATTGGCAAAATCATCTCAATAATCGCCAGCCCTCGATTCGCCAAGGTCGCCGCTGTATGAAGTTGGTGAGAATTTCACTGACTAATGCATGGAAGCCTAGCGTTATTTGGCGCGCCTACCATCCGATCATCGAGTGGACTATCTTCCAAGATTTCTTGGTAAGATGACTTAACTTCGCTTCAGAAGCCTCTGTTCGCCATTCCCCAAAAGAAAAGAGGATCCATGGGCGGCTTAAGGAGTCCTTTTCGTCCAATAGAAACAGTTAATCACCCTCCACAATTAGTTTTGCTTCTGCATAAAACAGCCTGGGGAGGACGCTACGCCGTATCCTGACGCCCTTTTTTTACTCGCAGCAGCAGGACACTCCCGGACCCTCAACTTTCTGGACGAATCTTACATCAGTTTATTGGCTGTCGTTGCTCCAAATACATAAAACAAGCGTTTCACGTTCAACTTCATACCGATCTCCTTACAGTTCTCTAAACTGCGGAAAGTTTCGAGTTCGCCCCTTTGCACTGGAACATGCGAGGGGTATTCGGCAACTCCCATGCGCAACGTCAGATTTCTGATTGAGGACCTCCTGCTTCTAACATCCCAAACATCTAGAGGGACTGCTGGTGTTGCCAGCAGTTCAACAACCGGGCGTGCAAATGCGGCTCCAACGACCCCTGGTAAGACGTCCCTTGTTCTAGTGTCCTCTATTTCTGCCAATAATTACAGATTCCCCGCAGACAATCACCGGCATTTCCAGTGGAACCTCCGCCACCATACTCATTAACAATGACAACATCCGCTCTGCCTTGCGATCTCATAACATCCCATACCAGAATCCTTTCCACCGAACCTTCAACTAGTTATTTCTCACTGTTATTCATTATGTTGTGTCGGCTTTCCCTAAGTCAGTGTAGTCCTCCCTAACTACATTGCTGTACATCAATTCTAGGGTATTTCTACCTTGGGGTGGACGCTATCTTCGAGTTGGTTTTTCGCACGTCCATGAGCTCATCGTTGACCTCAAACGATCCTGCAATCGTCCTCCTGCCAAAGTCAGTCTTTAACAGTGCTACTTTTCACGTCGATTCACCCAAAATTTCACCACCGAACGAGCCGACGTCGACTGGCGCCCTTTTGAGCTGCCACGAAAGTCCCACCGCCACCCAGCCCGTACTATAAGAAACACTACTCTCATCTCACAGGGCATTCATTTGAGCTTGACAGCTGTCCGGGAGTACCGAACTGGTTAGACAGGAAAAAACCATGGTGCTATTCCAAAATCCCGTCAATCAACTCGCTGGAAACCCATTCATTTTCAAAAAACCCAACGGCATAATATTTAACTCCCTCTGGCAGGCTATTTCTGAACCCTCTGCTCCTCGTGGCCGTCCCAGTCACCCTTGTTAAGGAGAAGGACGGCAAACTGAGCTTCTGCAACGATTACCGGCAGCTGAATAAGGTGGCCGTTCGTAACTCTATTTCGATTCCGCGCACTGGCACACCACCGAACCTTTGTCTGGCACATTCTGGTTCGCAGTCTCGACTTTTCCTACAGTAATTGCCGGCTAGAAGTCTGGCAAGAGGATTGTCTTAAGACGGTATTCATCCTCCCCACCTGTCTCTATCTGTTCATTGCTCTCTCTATAGGTCCCACGAAGGTCACATCCACAGGCCAGAAGTAGGTTCAAATCGTCTTCCATAACCTATCCCCCGATCATCTCTCGGGTACTTTGACGACAACAGTGTTCGCGGTAAGTCTGTAACTCATTTGCTGGACAATCTGAGTCAAGTGCTTCACATTTACAGGCTGTCTGTCGGACCATAAATCTAAAGGGGTGTCGAGTATCTCAACGCCAAGCAAATTAAACTGGGCGCGTAACACCCCGAACCGGCATTGCCCTTGACCCTGTGAAGTTTGTCCAGTATACGACTGGGCAATACCATAAACGCAAACAGACGTACTGTCTTTCATAAGACTGAGTTCTTTCCATCGTCAATTAATCTTTGGTTTCGCTAACCTTGCTCTTCCCCCTAGCCACTTAACAGTATTGGGACGTTCATTCACATGGGAAATAGTATGCTCACAACATTCCTCATTCTCCGAAGACATCCTGACCTCCGCGCCTGTCCCCACATTCTAAGTGGTAGTTCTCGGAGTATACCGTCCGTCATAGACACCAGCGCTCGGTAGTTTGTCATCAGTGGATTCATTTGCCGGTCGCGGGCAGACAGAGTTGAGCACGTTCTAACTTGCGGCAGCTACCGCCCTACAAGGCGGAATGCCGTTACGGCACCACACCATCAGAGATACCTGTTATTATCCCTTATGTCAGGAAGTTCTGACATGTTGTCTTTGCGAAACACTTTGCCGTTGTATTGACTACCAGAGACTTAAGTGGCTACGAAATCTTCAGATACCAATGAACATATGACTGGGTGACAAGGAATGCTCGGTGGACTCGACTTCAGATTGCAGCATCGCTTTAGTAACCACCATCGCATTGCTGATACCCCATCTCGTCCACCGGTCCCCTCAGAGAGGACGGCACGCACCCCTTTCCTTATTTCGATCACCGGCCGCCCAAGAACAATGGGCATAACTACAAACGTCCCATCTTTATATATTTATCATATACGACCGACGCTTACACAATTCTCCCAAACCCACTGATTATGAGATGGAGAGTTCCAGTGTGGAAGCCCATTACTTATAGTCGATGTTGTTTTCCCATGTCAAGCTGACGATTTTCCATCATCATCCCTCCCTCCCTAAGTAGCTGGTCGTCCTGCACCTTAGATCTCAGATCATTCACGATACCCACAAACAACTGGTACAGTTAGGATATGCTGCGACCCTCACTGTACTATGTCAACAATATTTGGGCCCTACGAACAGCATGGTTTAATTCCCCTCTGTATGATTTACTTGCACCCAGATCGAGGATCACGGGTTCATTTCGGGACGCCACTGGAAATGGTCTCGGCGGGATTCTCCAACAATTGGGTGGTCGTAGATGCATTGGCCCTTTAAACAAGATCAAGAAAGGAAACCGCTTCATTTTGGTCATTATAGGTTATTTCAGGAAGTGGCGTAAAGCCGCTTTACTGTTAACTAAGTGGTCCCCATCCTAGCAGTGGCACCCGTTGGTCACTGGATCACTCGCTTATTTACCCTACATCCTCCACACAGACCAGGAAATCAAGTTTGAAAGTCATCTTTTTCTGGCTCTCTGTCACTTACCGGGTTTAGTCGAAATCCGTTCCTCTCCTTACTCCCAGCCGGAAACGCACAGAGGAAACGCATTTAAAATACCTTTATGGTGCTAATACACAGCATGGTTGATCAGTGTTGTGCGGATTTTTGAGTTGACCTTATGCTGCGGTGCATCCTGGCCTACCGCGCCAACCTACACTCCTTTCCTTCGCTCAATCCCTTCATGGTACGTTTTGTTTGCCACCTGCATCCCTCATCTGAATTAAGCATGTGAAGTGGTGTTTCTCTAATGAAACAATCTCGCTGGCACCTGGATCGTCTCATGGACTATCTGCCGATTGTACAGGCCACGGTTAAAACGATACTGTAACCCGCACACCGACACCAAAAGGGTTTTAGCGATTATTTGACGTACGGATCACGATGCAAACCTATGCGTTGGCAGAAAAGTACAAATGCCCAGTATCCTGAATAGGAAAACATTGAAATTCAGAGCCTCGTTTCCAGACTTTGTGTGCGTTGACGTCCCCAGCAGTTCGGTGTTAGTGTACGGCCACGGGCGAACCTCTTATTAACTTCCCGACTTGCTTACTGAGCCATACTAGAGCAAGTACGCGAGTTGCACACTGGATGTTGAAGTAAATAACTAGAACCTTATGCGCAACGATTCCGCCGACTATCAGGCGATTGTTTGAACAATTTTCTGAGAGTTGCAATGGCTTCTACGACTCTTCTTGAGTTTAAGTTTTGCAAAATTATTTTCTGGCGATATTTCCAGTCACTGAGGGACCCAGAATATGCCATTAGGAAATTCGGGTAAGTACGAAATACTAATATAAGTGTATTCTTAGGCAACCGGCTACTACAACAAGGCAAGCAGTTCTCACATGCTTCGGATAAGGTTCATAAAATTATTGACAGAATCACGGCAACATCCTTTAAACTGGACGAAAACCATGGCTCTATGCCGACTGAAAAGTTGGAGGCGGCAGGAATTTCCAAGGAGAATTGCTTACAGAACTTCTGTAGGCAAGGTCTTCGTTCTCAAAAAAGTTGGTTTGGTTACTAATCCCTAAAGTATATGCTATAGCACTAAAACAAGCACTGATCCTCTGTGCACAGTTTGCGCGACTACTGAGAAAACGAGTTATATAATAGCTACGAAGAACTTATGTTCGGGCAAATTATGTTGGGAGTGCCTACACTCCCAAAAACAAGAGCCAGCCAGTTAGTGGAAGCCACGTGCCTTTTCTCTTCCGCGCTGTCAGCATAATCGATATGCCTCTCTGTTAGCTGCTATCCTCGAGCCTTATCGGTCCATGTTTTCGAACTATCGACCAACTCGTCCATAATGTTCTTTCCGAAATTAAGCACTTGGAAGTGTTCACGGAAAATGTGACGACATCGTGTAAGAGATTCTCGCCGAATCAGATGTTTGGCCATGTCACACAAATCGGCTTAGACATACGGACGTGCCATGTACAGACTCGAATCTACCTTTTAAACGGCTATTGGACACGTCCGATTCGTAAAAACCAGGGCAAGGACTCACAGTTCCAGCGTTAAGACAATCTCACTAGTTGCGTAGACGATCCGACCGAACGCAAACGCACTGTTGAAAGTGTACATGTGACCACACATATCATTTAACTCAAAAGGGAGAAGTACTGGGACGACGTGTGAGCCGACAGTTCCTACGCTGAGCGCGCTAAGGTTGCGCCAAGCCAGGTTTACCCTAGTAGTTAAATGAAATCGGAGTCCGGTCCACATACTAGCCCTAAAAAACACCATCGCATTCATCGAATTTCATTCAGGATTTTAAAATTATCGCATGTCATTTTTCGCATATGTACGCAGGTGAAATAGACCAATGCACTCTTTGTTTGGCCTTTGTTATTCAGTTCTAATCCGGGGTTCGATCGAGGAGATTTGTCAAACGGGTGGTAAGTAAGGAGGGCGGCAAATTCACAAAAAGGATACGGGACGTCATCCTGTCGCACAGTTGTTTTATGATTTGCGTAAGCCACGCATGATGCGGGATTTCGGCAAGATTTTTCAAAGTTAAAAACCTTTGTCAAATAGGCAAAGATTATGTAAAGGTTTGTCCTCATTCTTCGGCACTTTTCTTGCCGTTGAGTGACCACGAGGATCGTATCTGTGACCCTGCTCTGTTTTTGGACTTCGAACTATGTTTCTAGAGGGAGCTCCTGCTCCAGATTCACGTTCTGACGATTTGATAATTGACGGGAAAGGATTTTTTTCTGTGGCTGTCAAAGAGTTGTCGGTTCCCAATGCATTCGTAGATATGCACAATAGTGACGTCTCTGGGGTCTTGGGGGCTGTATTGTGGTCGTCATAACTTCTACAGCAACGAAACAATCTTTTCCGTCAGTTGTTCACTGTTCATGTAGACATCGACTGGAATTGCGTATTCTCCAGGTATTTTTTTCACTAAATAATCAATTTGCTTGCTTCAAAGGGGGAAGGCAGAGGATAGGGAGTGGTCAGTAGTGCTCCCTTTGGCTTCTTTGCATATTGTCTCTGGGTGATTAAGAGTGGCCTGGACGTTCGTGGGCCACCGCTCCGGAATTTGTAACCTCTGCGTCGGGGGAGTGTTAACCTTGGTACAGCCGCTGTCCAGTTTCTCCAGCTCGTTGACTGCAGACCATTTTTTTGGCAAAGGCATTCTGAACCTCACTCCTATATCTGAATCCACTGGGCTTTGAGAATCAGTCGGTCGTTCAGCATCTACGTCAGCTTTTCTCATGCGAACGGTCGGCGTCTAAAGCACGCTTTTTTGCGTTTTTACTGCTGACGATGTAGGTCGGACGTAGCCTATGTCTTCTGGTAACGGTGCGCGAAATATTGTGATATTGTCGTCAAAACGATCCTAATGCAAACGTTGTGCGTGGCCGAGGATTTTAATCGCGATAGTCTGGATGATATTCCGCAACCCCTTAACTGTCTTTCGACACGGGCGTGCACTGCTAAGATATGCTCTGCTTCCGAGTTGGAGTTCATGTAGCTACTAGAATTCGGTAGATTCCGGCTCTATCGAGTAATACAGTATTTAACCGACTTGATGTGGACTTGCAGTGGCATGTGTGGCAGCAGTTTAAGTCTAATTTCAGAGATGACGGGACGACAATTTGTCCAGCAGCTAGCGCCACGAAGCTCCCTAGCCGCGACCGCGTTACGCAAGCTGCCGAAGCAGGATTTAGTCCGGAAGATTTCAATAGTGCGGGCGAGGACGCACGCACATTGCCTTCCCTCTCATCGGAAAAAGAGAAACAAGGATTTGGTCAGGAGGGCCCGCCAAAGATGATCATTGATGTCGCAGCTGCTAATTCTATGCCGGCCGAGCACCGCTGCCCACTCCGCGTAGCCCTTGCTGACCTGAACGGTTTCACAGATGGAGGCTCCAATTCTCAATGATCTTACCCTTTCGTTCCTGTGTGATGTTCCCCAGGTCATCGGATTGATTTACAGATGTTTGAGAGACGTTTTCAACGCATCCCCTTAGTGTCGTTTTTCTTCCTCAACGAGCATGCTCAAAGACGCCGCAATGGAAATGGCGCATGGGTATGCGCTCGCCATACATCCTTACGAGGTTGTCACTCAGGTGCAATTAAAGTCTCATCGCTACAATATGGCCGCTGAGGGTTTTGGCTCACTCAGAGTTTTCTGTGTTCGGATTCTGCGTTTCAATCCCAGCTTCAGCATTCTCAGAAGGCAGCTGAGGTTGAAGTGATTGATTTCCCCATCCGTTTTTTCGTACTGTACAGGTATCTACTTCATAAAACAGCACCACCAAGGAGGCAGTTTTATACATTTTGCATCTGGTCTTGAGAAAGAGACGGAGGTCAGCAGCCAACCGCGTACCTAGCTAGCTTTAAAGACCTGGCGCACAGTTTAAACGTCAATCTTTGTGGTTCTTGATATTTTACTGCCTAAAAAAGCGAATTTGTCCACTGTTTTTTCGGGTCCCGTTGACAGTGACGCAAGAATCGTTTTATAAATTGTCGAATGACGAATGGTGCATTACCACTGTTTGTTCGTTATTGACGATCAGCCAAGAGGCAAATAAATCGATGATCCTGCATATATTCGACTCTATCGCGGTTTCGGGAGCGTAATCATCCGCGAAGGGCAGGTCTTAGACAACAGACATCGATAGACGCATTGGGATACTTCATTCATCCGGCATTGAGAAGCTGGTCGTTGGTCTTGTAGACGATGTTGATCCCAGGAAGCCTATCACTGTAGGCGTCCATGCGCATAACAGTGAACATGAAACTGAATAGGGTGAGAGTGGGTGTTCAGTTCTGCTTCACTCCACAGCTAACTGCGAATTCTTCTAAGACTGTAACATTGTCCGTAACTCTCGCATTCAGCCCGTCGTGAAGCTTACGTACCGTGTGCATGAATCGCATCGGTAGTTTTGCGAGCTTAAGATTAAGCAAAATTACGGCCTAGCTCATGAGAGGGCTAAACGTAAGCTAAGCAGCCAAGTATGCTGGAATCTACGACAGTTTTATCCGGTTGGCTTTGGAATAGGATATACCATACATACTATTTCACACTAAGCTTAATCTAAATAACGTCACATAGTACACAACTGTACATGAACCTCTCCAGATCTGTTCAAAACTGTACAACTTTTTGAGGATGGATAGTTCTATTTCAAATCACCTTATGCTACTATGGGATGCATATTTGCGACGTGGGTAAGAGGTAGTAGATGCGGTTCTCACTATCCAAAAATGCTTGCGCCCTAGATTCTTAGTATATCAAAATGTCTCACTTAAGTTATTTGAGTCATTAGATAAACAAAAAACATATATTCAGGATGAGGGAATGCATGTATAGCTGGGATTCCATCCGCCTTCAGCGCTTTCAGTTAGTAACATTTTCGCGTGTAATATTCTTGGCTGACATGCTTTTCTACGTGCAGGGTCAGTCCCACAGTTAACTTGAGTTTCGGTATTCATGCACAGTTTACTGGCAATAAGCCGTAAAAGTTGGCTGTATGTAAATATTAGAGTATTCTCACACGTTGGGTGTAATCCTGCTGTCTAAACACCTCCAGCCCTCACACTCTTCGGCCCAGTTTTATTTCTGCCCCTTTCATTACTGCTATCGCGTCGTGCGCAAATATTTGTTGACGACTTATTTTCGCTCGTTTTCAATCACAAATCATGAGAATGCTGACAAATAAGTCATGCAAATATTTGGGCAACAGAATAAGAACAAACTTTTCAGACCACAAACAAATGACCTTGCTTTGACCTAAGTGCAGGTCGTGGTCCATTCAAAAAAGCGTGGAAAATGGTCAATACCACGTATGTCACGACTGTTTGTGGGATTGTCAAAATCGTTGAGGTCTTTACCTCACTCATAGCGTTGATATGCTCCTCCATCCATGGGCCGTTTGGATTTCCTGGATATTTGATTTTCGTCGCTGTATCTTCCCTTTTGGTTGAAGCAGTATTGTTCGGAATTTACCTTTTTCAGTTAAATGAAAAACTCCAAGCCCCTTGGTTCTTTATCGTAAGTCTTTCAAATCATTTATGTAAAAGAGGAAGTCTTGAGGGTTAATGTTCATGGTCTTGTGGAATTCGCGGACGGACAACGAATCTATTTTGTTGCAATTTATATTAGTATAAAAGTGTAAACATTCACTTGCTATAACAAACTATAGCTTAAGAGAGCAAACCAAAACAACTTTCAGTCGTCCAAATTGAAATTTGCGCGCTCCTCAATAGATAAAGCGTGTTTTAGCATATTTTTATAGGAACTACACATTGAGGTGTGTATCAAACCAATCAAGGAATTCTGACCTGATGCTGCCCCTCAGAAAATCATATTTCGGGATCTCATGATGTCCACACGTCCATTTAATGTCTCCTTAACGAATATGGCTTTTTCGACAACGAAGGCTTGTTATAAGTTTTTAAATAACACTTGCAGCTCCGACCCGCAACTGTTAAGAAGTAGATGTTGGGTTAATTAACGAAAACGACCAAATCGTAATAGCAAAATTTTTAAAATAACAATCAACTGAATCTCTTGAATGACTTTAACTCAACACAGATTTAAAATAGAGTATAATAAGACTTGGAATTAAGGAGTGACTGATGCTATTCTTTCCTGATTATATCTAACGAGTTACGTCGTCTTAGTGAACATGGTCGCCAGCGTGCTTTCTTGCAACAGGCACTTTACATGCATCCTAAGTGTTATCGCGCATATTTGGCCTCGGGATAATATCACAAAGACTATAACTGATTTGGTTTTTATGTAATCATGGTCAAAAATAAAAATAAGACAAAAACGAAAACTCCAAATAACATTCCCAACGCATGATCCATAAATTTCCCCACAAAATCCTTTTCCGCGTTGCGGAACATCGGTTGCTTTTTCCAAGTTCGTTAGTTTAGTGTCCAGGTCTGCTGCGCTAAATTTTTCTGAAAAGAAATCACTTTTGTTTGTCTCTCTAAACAGTTCATACCTGACAGTATGATGTTGCTCTTGTTGGACATCATATTATTTAGAATATCACTATAAATAACAGCTCAGGAGACTGATAAAGGCTGAATAGATCTACAAATATCATAGTTTTTCCTTCAGCAATATAAGGTTTTATCCTTCGATGCTACCCATTAACTATAGCGGGGAACTATAAAATCCTGAGAACTCAGTCCTTTTTTGAGGCATGCAAGACAACCTCGCCATGTGATTTTACAATAAACGCGATATTTTCGCTTATGGCCATTAATAAAATGTTATCCTTGGAATTGCCTAATTTATCATTTTGATTTCGACAAAACGTTGTGATGGTTAGAGGGGCCAGAAAATGTTTTTACTTGGATTAGTAATTGTTTGACGTCCTGCTTACTACCCAGCTTGCGAAGTTTTCGACAGTTGTTTGCTTTGCTACAGATATAATCTTTTTAGTTCTGTATCACAACTGTGAGCTGTGGTCAAACTGACATAATTACGCGTTCTTATTTATTTTTGGACAGTAACGTTTTTTAGCCCATGGCAAATTTAGTTTTAGATTTTTGAGACGCGCAAACTATCCTTACTATCTAGTGTACGACTTATAAGTCTCACTAACCGAATGAAGTAGTTAGTACGGCATATTTATTTAGGAGAGAACTGATTTTTAAAATGTTACAGCCGTAAATTTGTTTAATTATTGACTTATGCGTGGTAGACCATCACAACTCGCAAACTAATCAGTGATTTCTGTCATAAATTATTTCATTGTTACAGACCAAGTCAACCTCAGTTTGCTGTCCCTTTTTAAATTCAATCGATGTATATCTTTTTTGGCACGGTTCATTTATTTTGTGTCGTTTTCTCTTTTATAACCTTCGTGCTACGACCCTATTCTTACAGCCAACCGACAGCGGAGTTCATACTTCAAGAGCCATCTCAGCGAAATTCATATATCGGAAAGATTTTTCTGCTCCTTTTTTCTTTAGGACCTCACTATTTCGGGCATACTTGGAGCGCTGAACATCATTGCCTTCAGCGTTTCTGCGGTCTTTGGAATTGTAGCGGCTTTTGGTGCAGCTGCGGTAACGTACCAAGTTTATTTTTGCGTAATATGCTGTCATTAGAAGTGAAAAAAAGCAGATATTCTCCTTTCGTTTCTTAGTGTTCAAGTGAAATTTCACTCGGTCTTGCGAAATGTTGGCCAAAATTCTGAACTGCGATTCCGATTAAGTGGGCTTACTTAAGCGGGATTATAATAATTAATTGTCACATGGCATAATCCCATAACATTCCGGGCTTTCAAGAATTTTGATTTTTGGATGCACTTCTTTGTCATCTCCTGTAGAAAATGCACTCGGTAAAAGAATAAATGCTTGACTAGTATGCATTTTTCACATTGATTTTTGGTGGCTTTATAAATTCGAATATATTTTAGCAAAAATATACACACATAGTATGTTTTTGTTACGCATTTCGCAGAAGATCACGTCGGCTTTACATCTTACCCTCGAAAAAGACGTACTTAGGTCTTATAAAAGCTTTCCAATTCCCAAATAATTTTGTGACAGATCAGCCGTTACACCAGCGTTTAGCGATTTCAGTCTACAAAAAGCATACTTTCCGCTTAAGGAAAATCACAAATACTGTGAATGCGATGAATGCAAACTATGTCGTATACTTCGTGAGGAGCATTCGTAAAAGGACAATTAGGATGCTGTACGCGTGGACATTGCAAGTGGAAACTTTTAACACCAAAAAGCACCATTTCTTCGGATAAAAAATTTGAACACAACGTTTTTTGAAACCAAATGCCTAAACAAAAGCACATTTTGTACCTGCTTTTTATAAAATATATTCGAATTTAAAAGCCATCAAAAATCAATGCGAAAAATGCATGCTAGATAAGTATTCAGCTTTTACCAAGTTCAGTTTCTACAGGAGGTTACAAAAATGCATTCAAAAGCCAACATTCTGACGAATCTAAAATGTTATGGAATTATGTCGCGTGACAATCAATATTACAACCCCACCTAAGTAACCCCTTCTAATCGGAAAGGCATTTCAGAATTTCGGCTAACATTTCTTGAGGTCGGTTACTCACTGTACATTATGTGGTGCATCTCTTAAAGTGTTCACCGACGTTTTGAAATGTATTTATCATTAAAAAGGCTCTAATACCGACTATCTTGCGGCATAGTTTAAGTATATTTTAGTCCCCCGGATGCTGTCTTTTAAATGCACTTCCTTTTGGCCGTGCACAAAACTTACGTTTTGCAAACAGTGTTGACTTAATTGGAATGGTTTTTTCCCTGACACAGCAGAGCGGAGGGGCGACAAAATGCGTGCATATTGACACAGTACTGTTTCGGACTTATTCTATCTTCATTCATACAATCATAGTCCTAATTACCCGAAAAACAAACATGCTTTTGTCCCTCCCCTCTGCTATTATTAATTGGTCAGCTTCGGAGGAGGGGTATCTTCCGATTCAAAGGGTTTTCTGAATCCCATGTAACTTTTTACTCAACTTGCCGCTACACTTGCGTTTAGGGCCTCCATACCATAACCTGTCTATTTCCCATGTGAGGAATATCATACTTTCCACTGTGTAGTTAGGGAAGTATCGCAAATGACTGATAAATTTTACAATGAATATGGCAAACACACAGATACGCTGCTATTCAAATGGATATTTTACGCTCTCAAAACCGCTCTTAGTTACGAACTTTTTGAACTGAAAGTTGCTGTTTCTTCGAGTAAAAAATGCAAAGCGTAATTCATTACGAAGTGTGTAGAAGGAAGAATATGTTCGTGCATATTTTCTATAAAATATGTGTAAATTTTTAAGAGCATCAAAATCAATAGAAAACGTTCGTAATAAATAATCCTAGCAGAATTTACTATTCAGATTTTTGGCAAACATTTCATGCTTTTAGATCTCTGTTGACTGTAGTCCTCCATTTTGATCTTGACTCCAACAACGACTGCTGTCGCCTGGAGCAGCCAATTGGGGTGCGGTATAAAATGAATCCTCTATTTTAGTGTCTGCTATCCGAGATTTTAACTTCCAGTTATGGAAAACAGAAGTATAGAAAATGTAAAACTGCACGAATTTTCTTGTTTTTGATCTTTCATGTGGCAGGGCTGACACGGTACAAGTATCCGGTCGTAACCGTTTTAGAAATAGAAAAAACGCACTTTTACGTAACTGGAGCAGGCAAGCAGGGCAGGATTGAATGGTGCCACAAACTGGCACAGTGGCTAGTCAAGGAATTAGAGGCAGTCCGACGACGGTTTTCCACTTACACGCTAAAGAAAACAGTTTTTATTTTATTGAAAAAATCAGAAATCAAAACATTTCGGGCAAATACATGATGTTTCTGGATGTAGAATCACTCTTCACTAAGGTACCACTGGATGAAACAATAGACATAATGTGAACCCATGCATTTACAACTCGTCTGCCACCTGAAACACTACGAGACGCATTAAAATTGTGCACAATGAACGTTCAATTTTTTTAACAGCCAGTTATATAGACAAATTGACGGAGTGTCAATGGAGAGTCCCCTCGGTCCGACATTCGCTAACATCTTTATGGGTAATCTAGAAGAAAAGGTGTCTGAGAAATTGAACATGCTGCCACTCTACAAAAGATACGTGGATAATGTTTTCGCTATTGTTTAAGGCATTAAGGAGGCTAAAGAATTGCTTTCCATCATAAATAAGCTACACCCAAGTATCCAACTTACACCAGAGAAATAACGAGACAATCAACAATCTTTCCTGGACGTTCTTATGCTTTGACAGGAAGATGGTTATATAAGACATTCGGCTTTCCACAGGAATACTTGGAAGGTGTATTCCTTGCATTTTTTGAGTTTTGTACCCAGAAAATGGAAGTGGAACTTGGTATACACTCTTTTCCAAAGGCCTAGGAACATTTGCCCCAATGACACACTGGATACAGAACTTTTACCCCTCAGAGATGCTCTTCTTAAACGTGGATATTCTGCACGTGTCATCCGAAAGTACAGCAACTCTACACGGTCAAAACCGACAGAACACACACACACAAACGGTTGCAGTGTTGGGCTCGTGAAGATTCGTGCAGCCCGATTAACGCGTGCTGTGAGCAAGTCAGAGCATCTGCAGCGCCATCCTTTTGGAGGGCGAGAGGGCATAACTTTATTGTGCTGTTATTTTGAGCGCTTCTGGTTTGCCAAGAGTATTTTAATTTGGGAAGCCTTAGGGCGTTTCGTCGTGACGACATAAAAAACACGAGTGTCTACAGGCGACCTGTATGCCCCTCAAAAAAGTAGAAAATACATGAAAAATAACGATAGTCCTCATGCTGAGAAAGCACAAATTTTCTACGAAATGGATACAGAAAATGCACTCCTTCGAGAAATAATAGAAAAGCCATATAAACAGCAATTTGGGCCATGGAGAATTGTAATGACCGACTGGGAAAGTTCTGAACTGAAAGCCAGCATTCCACAGTGAGTGGAATGACTTGAGTCTGACCTTTACTTTTAGGGAGTTAGGCTTTATTTGTTTGACTTACATGTGTGCCGGTCATACACTTTCATTCCAGTCTCTCTTGATTTTTCATTACTGCTTCCGTATCTAGGATCTAATACTATGGTTCATGCGTTTCTGCGCCTACCGCTTGTTAATTTAGAAGGTCTAACTGACCGACGTTTTTCCTTTCTTCTATCTCGCCGGCAGTTCTTCTTTGCTGTGATGCTCATAGCTCTACTGGTCGACGCTTTCTTCCTCTATCGTGCCTACCGCGGCACCACTAGCCAGCCCAGTTTCGCTGGTCCCCCCAAGAAGGGACCCAGCTACGTCAGTGAAAACCAGCCAGTCTCCACAAGCAATCCGCCCAACGGAATCCCAGACTATACAGCCGAGCAGCCGAAGGTTGACCCATAGAGTAAGTGGAGCTCCTCAATTTTGCCATGCGTTTTCCCACAGTCGCGGAAGCACTATTGCATCATGATTTCATCAGAGAGTCTCGGGTTTTAGATTGCGCTTTTCTTTCAAGACCCTCCTTGAGACCTGCATGCATGCACCTTACCTGAACCGCCCGCGCATCACCTGTATTCACCAGTCGCCCCTCTGTGTGCATGCCGTTTTCCAGAGTCAAGAAGTGACATGCGGGCACTTGAAAATGGGGTCAAGCCGGAGGATGATGGTAGATGCCACTGTCTACGCACAGGCCACAAGAAGTTTGAAACCAAGCCCTTAGTGATAGGTTGGCAAATAAGACAACGACTCACTGACATTTTGGACTAGACAACAACTTCACAACTAGACATGTGCGTAAGAAGAAACTCAGACCTTGGTGAAGCACTTTCTGTTGTAAGTGGACTTTAAATTTCATCATAACTTGTACGTCTGCGGTAAAATCGCCAGTCATTCACACTCTGAATCTGAGATTTAGCGGCTAATTATGCATGACACACAGGCCATCGACAACTTTAAAATAAGCCTTTTTGGAATGGTAAGTCAGACGTTCGTTTTCTAACCCAACGAAGTTGACAGGACATACACGCTTTAATAATAATAAGGCTCATATTTGGAGGAGTTGGGGACGTACTTTAGAAAGTACGATTAGGCCAGTGAAAAACACCCAAATCCGGTGCCAGCAAAAGTTAAAATGATAAGAGAGGCTGGCGACAGTTACTCAGTTATTAGCGCCTGCGTAAACAGACACCAACTGAGCCAGGAGTAGCTACTTGAAGCTAAGATAAGAAAAAAAACATGGTCAAATCCCTCCGTGATCTGTTTTCAACCTATGCAGTTCGATATCGCGTGACTGGATGAAAGTGGCAAGAATGACTGTTGCGACTCGCTTACCAATGAAATGAATCCAACAACAGTGCACCCTTCGTCCTGCAAGACATAACCTATTTATCCACCACTTGTCGCCATCTTTACACGCGGAAGATCCAGTATTCACTAGCGTATCCTAAGGGAACCAGGACATTTTGGTCGCAATTAGCCCGATCGTCATTTGCCCAAGTGGATATTCTACCGTAGTTTCTGTTATCCAATAAGGTTTTAGGAACCAATTTTGCCTTAAAGTGCAGAGACGAAGGAATGTGCGGGTGTCTATCCTCACCACCCTTTCCACAGAGGTACCAGATACGCGTCCAGACAACTGTTTCACCGAACTTTGTAGTTGCTCAACGCAACTACGAGGGCTAGGTCCCCAGTGGATACTTCACTAATTCATTCGACTTCGAGTACTATTCCACGTATCAATCGTAAATTTATTACGCCGGACTTTCGCCACGTCAACCCCACCCCATTCTCGCAACGGCCATATTCCAGTGGTAGGACAATGCCAATGTGACCGAAGATTGACGTATACTCTGTGGTTGGCAAGCTTAAATAATAAATATCGACGTGTTATACCCCTGTTGGTACCTATTCCACGCGAACCAGACTTCAGGGATAGGGGTCCCTGACCTCACGTAAAGAGAATTAACGGATAATAGTTAAAAATCCACAAACCTGCCGCTCAAATGTTCTATGACTGCGCGAAGCACAGCGGCTTCATCCTGTTCCCCAGTATTTTCGTTTATCGTACCAGTTATGCAAGAGCCTGTGTACGCGCCTTTTGAGCCGTCCTCTTTGGCAGTTATCGTTTCATTCTTTGCCGTGCTTTTATGGTAGTTGAGATGTTAATGACTAAGCCAATACATCACGAAGCCGCACTGTCTGGCTTTCTTGTCAAGAGCCCAACCTTAGGTCGGATAGGCCTGAAACCCCAAATGACGTCCTTTTGCCACTGGACGTTTGAGTCAAACGTTCTGCATATTTAGCCAAGGGCTGAGATCATCGGGATCATGATTATTCAGTCACCTGGGAGTAGTGTTCGCCATGCTCTCCGAGTCATTGGACTGAATACGAGCGATCTTGTGTTGCTTTGGAAGACAGGTCTATGATTCCTACAGACGATTCTATGACGCCCGTATCCTATCCTGTAATCAGTGTGTAACTAGGGCTTTATAATATCTCATAACAATGTCCACGCTATATGCATTTTGGTAAATTTTAAATAATTCATTTTGACCCAACTGTAATAAAGTCGACGCCTAGGTGGGATTCGAACCAACGAAAGCAAGGGGAGGCCTTAGTAAAGCCACGCTCTAGTCATCGGAGCTACGAGGCCCCACCGGGAGACGAGAGTTAAACCACATTTGGATCAAGTTACCCGCTAAACCTGTTGCAGCGTCTGGAATCCACCAAATCTGAAACAGTAAGCTGACTGTCCGAGCAGGATTTCCCCTTGCTATTGTGGGTTCGAATCCCACCAAGGCGCCGAGTTTTTTCACAACTGGATCGAAATGGAATTTTGAATTGTTTACTTCGTTACCTACCTTTTTCAGGAGTATTCTTTTTTGTATTCTTTTTGTGACGTTTACCACCAACGAATGTGCAGTCGACGCAGTAAAACACTCACGTTACAGTTCAGAGAGAGCCATCTGACTCACCTTTCATCGGAGATATTTGTGCGATATTACTTATACTGATCTTATCAGCCTATCAGAAAGCCTTCTCTAGTTCGTTTTCTTTCCCATGGAGGTTTCTACAAAGTATTCAGAATGGTCGGAAGTGGGGTGGGTGTCGCTCAAAGCTGGGAACGAAAGGATGCCGTTCAAGGAATGAAGGGTTAAAACGAGGGTTTCGGTTCTCCCTTTGGAGGCCGACGTTTGCGACTAAAGTCAGGTCTATACGTTGTTCTGGGATACAGGTTGAGTAAGTCTGTTTGATAGCATTTCAGACACTTGAACATCCAGAAAGGGGATTTCTCCGCCCTTTTCTTCCTCCATTGTGAATTGCATTTTGGGGAAAATTGAGTTCGATTTCCTTTTGCAAGCCTCTTTTGCGTCTCGACGTAGGATGACAAAGGTGTCATCCACGTAGCGCATCCAGGATTTTGGCATGTAGGACTGAAAGACCCGTGTTTCTAGTTCTTGCAGAACCGCCTCCGCTAGGTAACCGGAGATCGGTGATCCCATGGGGGTTCCCTGGATTTGCTCGTACACGTGACCATTGAACGTGAAATACCTGCCCAAACAGTAGTCCAGTAGCTCCATTATGTGCTTCCTTTTCAGAGGTCTTTCCTCTTCATCGTATCTCCTCTCCAGTAGGTCACTTATGACCTTCGTGTCCAATTCTTTAGGGATGGAGCCAAAAAGAGAGACAACTTCGAAGGACACCATTATTTTGCCGGGAGATATTGTGACGCCTCGGAGTCTTTCCAGGAAGTGTGTTGAGGATACAGCTGTGTGTTCTGAGCCCTCCATCAGCTTCTTCAGATGTTTAGAAAGCCATTTAGCTAGATCCTCGGTAGGTGTGTCTTTCAGTACCATATGTCATCTGCTATGATGGAATATAGTCCAATGCAACGAATCACCCTCTAAGCCTGCACCTAGGCTGTTTACATTCTCACCCGCTGGCAGGCCGTTCTTGGTAGTTTGGAGTGGCTATTTTGGATAGACGGCGATGAGGCTTACAGCGCGCACTACTACATTTGACATGAACTTGCGCTAAAAGGAAGTTTTCCGGCATCAAGATATTATTCCACACTTAATTTCGAGACCAGGGTATACCTTTTTCAGGGAGTTTATTAAGTATGCCTAGTCAGTTTTAGACGGTTCAGTTTTCTTATTTCGGAACGTAAGAAGGTTTATGTGTCATGCTGTACTCGACCGGCCACATACTTTCCTCGTTGTAAACTTAAAAACTGTTTTATCTCTGAGTAATTTTTATCTGATCATTATTGTTTAACAATTATTTCGTTTATCTTTTTAGGGCGTATACATTATTGGGGCCGGTGTCAAAGGACACACGACATTTTATCAACACATTAAGTGTCTCCAGCACTCTCAGGGCACGTTAAACTTGTTCTTTTATCGTGTGCATCTTCCCCTCATTTACTCTTGTTTGTGAGGTTCTGACCCTTTTGTCTGTGAGTAATTATTTCGCTTCGCTGAAATAACAATGGTTACTTTCTATCAATTCGCTCATTGGGTTAGGTAAGCAGACTCCAAGGGGCACTGCCATGTGTGAGGTCTAAATTTTATTGAGTGACACAAAACATTCTCTCGAAATAACCAGATCTCGTAGCGAGGCAGAAAATGGCTAATCACCAGATGTTATTTACTGCCCGTAAATAACTACATTCTACAGTTTAGCAAAGCTTATGAGTGTGGCGGTTCGGTCATGGGACGCATCTATTAAAGAGCTGAGAATAAGCAAAGCAAACGCTACTCGCTTTGTATTTCTACCAATCCGACGAATGCCTGAAATCATTGGTTATCTAATGAACATCAAATGGGCGTTTAAATAAGAGCGTATAGTACTTGTGGCTTTTTAATTTCCTCAGAAATTAATGACGAACATGGAGTAGATCAGTCTATTCAAGGTCCATAGACTCAGACCGAAAATTATATGTATAAATATTTGGGCCGAAGTCTATCAGCCACAGCGGATAACCGCGTAATATTCATTAGCTGCCGACAGGCAGTTGGTAGTATACCTTAGGGTAAGGTGATCCCATACAAATAGCACAGGTACTAACCAAAAGCCCATGCACGCGTGTGTTGCCGATATCCTGCCGCTGCATGACACAGCTGAGAGGGCTTCTTCTCGTCAGTGGCTCATGGATTTCGACACAAATACGCGTACATTAAAACTTCGGTCTGTGCTCGTAGACCTTAAATATACTGATCTGTGGAAATTAAAAATCAACAATTTCTAAATTGATTTATCTACCAGAAGGCAGAGAGGGAATGCTGGAGGACCCACTGACGAGCCGAACCCCTCGCAGCTGTGTCATACAGCGGCAGAATATCGATGAAACACGCGCGTATTGGCCTTTGATTAGTACCTGTGCTGTTAGTACGGAATCACCTAATCCTAAAGCATATTGTACTTGCCAAAGACACTGCGGAGGCCTAAAACCAGCCGCAAATTGTAACATTTTACTTTTGCCTCTGAAGAAGGTTTGGGTTCAGGCTTTTCAACTTTTTTAACCCAAAAGGTTTGCACTTTCACTTCTCATGGACACCTATAAAAAGGATGTTAGTAACTGCTTTAGGTTAGGAGCTGCGTTGGATGAACGCCACCAAAGGCAAGAGTTTGCGGAATAGTCATTTCTGTTTCATTGGATACCATCAATCAGTCCAGATCACATGTATTAGTGATAGCATGCTGACTGTTAGAATCGGTTATTAGTAACGCAAAAATGATTTCGGCAGCACAAAGTAAGCACTTAAAGTTTTTAAACAACGAGCTTTCGTAGGCATCTATCTGACAAGTATGAGAAACTAAAGAACACAACTGTGATTAACGAGAACTCTTCTTTTAATCAAAAAGGCGGCTCATGCATCCGGTTATTTCGAGAACTTGCTTCATTCTGCCCACTACAGTTTCACATTTTTGGGTACAGAAGAGAGGCACAGTTGAAGCCATTATTTCCGTGTCATGCAACAACATTTAAGTCAGGACCGCTAGAGAAATAGCCTTTCGTGCCCCTTGGATGAAACATGGGCTTTATGTCCTCACGTAGAGATGGCAACCTTGGTATTCCAGCCATGAATTACTTGACTCACTGTTAAAACAATCTGCAACTGAAGTTACATTGTCTGTAATCGACGTACACGTCCGGAGGGAACACTTTGCTCTAGGATACTTAAATAAGACGTGTCTGCTTTTCAGAGCACGTGTAAATTTCCGGTGTTTGCAATTAATGAGGGGCTTTTGCCCACCGTTTCGCCCACAGTAGGTGGGCTAATTCATGAAATGCCAACCGAAATTCCGAAATGCGTTCTCGTTTCGAAAAGATTAATCATGTGAATTTGTGAAATCAATCATCATACCGCATAATTCCCTAATAATTCAATTACCCCAGGATAGCGACTTTTGGACGAATTCCTTTTCGGCTTCGTACAAGAAATACACTTTGTAAAAATGACTGCATGCATTTTTCTCATTGATTTTCGATGTCCTTAAACTGTTAACTATACTTAATGGAAAACATGCATAAAAATAATTTATCTTGGTCATTTAATAGAAAATTATGTCATCTTCCAAATTTATACTCTAAGGAAGAGTATAATTCGGTTTTCAAGAACTTTTCCAATTCCCGAATAATTCTGAACCCGATCTGCCGTTACACTTGCATTCAGGGTTTCCAAACTAGAAGCCGTATATTTTCGGCGTACGGATAACCTTGCATTTCTCTACGGTATTAAGAGGGAATTATATGGGGTTCATAAAATTTTGCAGTGGATTTGAGCCATATTGTTAACTTTACAAGCCACATTAATGAATGCAGAGACAGGACGTTTTATGAACGGCCATTTCACGGCATTAAAAAATATCACAAATAGAAACTTCTTGGAAATCGAATTATACCCTTTCTTCGAGTATAAAATTGCAGAAAGGCGTCATTTTCCACCGAATAGATAAAAGTGAATATTTTATACATGTTTTCAAAGAAATATAATGGAATTTTTAAGGGGATCCAAAATCAATGAGAAAAACTCATGTTACAAAAGTAGTCATTTTTACACTATGTAGTTTTTGCATGCGGCCGGAAAGAAGTCGTTCGAAAGCCGACGTCTTGAGGTAACTGAATTATTATAGAATTATGCTAGGGTGATTGGTTCCAAAACGCTACCTAATTAATCTTTTCGGAACGAAAACGCATTTCGGAATTTCGGTTGACATTTCATGAGTTAGCTTACCAACTATAGGACAATTAACTGTTACGGGCTAGCTAGACTAAAAACGGTGCCCTACAACAAAAGATTTTGAAGGTCCATATATGTAGTGGTTTAAGCAGTCACTTTTTACTCTTCGAAACACGAATATCTCCACGCATGTAATACCAGGGAGTTTTAGTAGTAATCTTCTCAAATCGACATAATTTGACGCAAAAGTTGCATGTTGTGCACGCTAGACATGAGAGACGGATTATAGGTGAGCAGTTCAGGCTCCCATGCAAACGCGTTCGTGGTAAACAGACGTCCAAGGTCCACTAAATTTAACAGCTGCGCGAGATTTTGAAAGGTCAGCCTGAAAAAGAGGCGATTGAGATTCCATTTTTTCGTTCCGTCTAAAAGCTGTTTAACTCAGTAACCTCTTGACAACGCTGCACAGGTCCAGTTATGCTGCCTTAATGAAAATCCTGGTCTTTGAAACCAGTAGCTTTCTGAACTGCAATTTCAAGTTTCTCCTCTCCTCGAAAATACTTCTTTTTCGTGGAGCAGTCCATGGAGAGAAAAAAAACTAAATTATATATGCGCGAGGCCTGGGGAAGTACATGACTTCTATAGCCTAGTTAGTGCGTTTTTAACAATGCCATTGCTGTAAAGTAAGGTATAGCGTTGTCGTGCGGAATAATGGTAGATTTCCCGTATACCAGCACCGTTGCCGTATTTGCAGGTTCCGGCGGACAATTTCTATAGTTACCGTAGGATCGCGTGGTGATCACCGCATCAGATCTAAGAAAGCTTGAATGACTCTACCATAATAAACCACCAAAAAGTGATCATTGTCTCCTTGTGGAGGTCGCGTTTAGGCATCGACAGGAGAGGCGTATTCGCTAAGATATTGCGTTAGAATTTTTGTTTCCATATATAAGTCATATGTAACATTTCGTTTGACGGAAAGTAAATTTCTGTCTCAGCAACAGCGGAGAAGAAAATCGAACGTGTTTTCATTTTGCGTCCTGTCAAATCAAAGAGCACGAATCTGCCTATCGTCTTCCCTATCGCAATCAAACATACCCTGTGTCATCCGGGCGGCCGGTTAGAACCCCCATCGGACTTGGTTGATCAGCCACAGCGTGCAGATTTGCCGAGCGGGTAAATGTCCGAATTCAAAGGCCTATCTAAGACCATTGATATGCCAGTCTCGAGGGGATCTGATGGTCGAATTACGACACGCATTGTATTGCTGTCAGGTGCGTGTAACCCCAGGCCCTTTGGCTAAATCTGAGCAGGTCCTTCCGTTATTTGCCTCATGCAATACATCTATGGAAATATAGATGAGTTGCGTTGGTCGCTAATTACACTTTCACATTCCCGGACCTGGTCTTCGCAAAGCGTCCTCGCATTGGTGCATATTTCAACTGACTGGCCCAAAATTGTTTCATATACTGAGCTACTACCATTGCACAATGTCCCGTTCGAGCTCATAAGGTTCAAGAATTTAAGCATTTCGCCTCCGCGTTCACTTGTACAGGTCTAAAATATGCGTAAAATATCAGATGTCACGGGTTTTGAGAAAATATGACCAGGTCACGCCGAACAGAACGACAAGCAACATGCCAAAACATTTCGACATAAAATGTCCTCTTTTAAAGACAGGTCTCGCGTAAATGCCAGCAACCTTGAGGAAAATCTAATTCGGCGCTTCCACATTGGTAATAATCATAACGTCTTCATAATTTCCGAGCCGTCACTAGGGAGAAGGGGACGATATGAGTGAATTCGTCCACGATTGTCCTGATCGATTGGCCAACGGGTTGACATGGCATGAGGTAACAGGGGAAGATAAGCAAATGGAAGTGGAGTTCGAAACCAGTTCTGACGCAAAAGTGGCGCGCAGCCACATGAACATCGCAGAGTCCGAAAAAATCGACTTTATCTGTCCAATTGAGCCCATTTTCGGTAGCACCTATGTGGCCATTGAGAACAAACGCACCTCCATTTTGATAATGAGTAAGTGCACAAAAGATTTCACCGCGAAAACTGAGGCAATGTGGAAATAGTCAGACACAACGAAACGGCGCAAGCCCTTCTTACTCGTGGATTGTCCCAAAAACTGACCTTTCTCTCGTGGAACACGTCGATGAACGATTGACCGAACAGCTTTCTAATCTAGCTTGGACTTCAGACCGTTATCGCGCTAAAAAAATATGGTCCTTTGCAACACTGATT